CAATGGTATGCACGGTACTCGCAGATGCATTTTGCTTTTCCGAAGTGAGTTGGCGTGTCTGCCCAGTAAAGCTGCAAGAAAACATTATTATCAAAAGTCTTTGTGTCTCGGCGGTGCAAAAAGCCGAGACCATGAGACTGATGATTCGCCACAAGTCAAATTTGACCGCTGCTGATAAAAGGCCGCGAGTTAATTCAGCCGCGAAACGAGCGTGATTTTACACAAAATGCACTTTTGCTTGGTTAAATAACAGCGTTGCGTAATACAGGAACAAATCAAAATGAAGAGAACATTCTACGCATGATTAAAAAAAAAATCATAAAAAAATAATATTCAAAAATAAGAATTACTTCACATTCATATCCCTGCATCAATATATAATATAATTAAATACCTTTAAGTTAGTTGATTAAAAATTGCCATAATAATTTCATGATTATTAACAAAAATTGAATAAATCAGACAAATAAATAGTTAAATACAAATTTTATATTTAATTTAAATAATGTTTGTAGCTAAAGAAAATATGCTGCATAATTTGTAAAAATAAAAAACATTAATTGGAAATTTGGCAGTAAAATTTTACTGTTTTTAAGTTTTTCAACAAGAACAAAAACCGTTTTTTTTATCAAAATTAATAAATAATATATCTAGTTATTTCTATAACAAATAATAATAGCCAGCTTAATGTAAATCTTTTCATCACACGCCTGCGGGTTTCAGGTTCGACTTAATTTTCCACGGCACATTTGGCTGCTCAAACACCGTTTAGTCCCAACTGTGCGGGGGAATCTCGCGTGACGGCTGCCGAAAAATTGAGTCGCGCTGCAACTGCGCCGGTCTTATTTGCGCCGCTGCTCTTTTCTTCCCGGTGACTTAATCAAATATAACATAACGCTATCTATTTACATCGTCTGGTGAGAGAGAAAAAAAGAAATTTTCCGTTGCAAAATTCTATCTTTCAGTAATGGTGCGCATGGACAATTTCTATCACGCTGAAGGTCGTCGTAATTGAAAATAAATGCATAAATTCACTTGTGTAAAGTAACAAACAATCTCCGTGTCTGCAATTCCGCCGGCGGTGCTCAGTGGAAATTTATAAATCGGTGCAGATTAACTATTACAAATTAATTAGTACCACTGCTGTCAACGAATTGCTTGATACGATTTAATACTCTTGTTCATAATAATTTCGTATCTTCCTTATTTTTGTTGTTTTTTGATGAAATATTTTATTATCTGCAACCCAGCGTCAAAGTAAAAAAGTTTTTAAGGTGAAGTCCAAATTCAAATTCAATTCGTTTTATTTCTCCACAACAAGTCAAAGCATCTGAGTCAAAAATTTACATTACGGAGAAATAGGCTTACAGTACTAGTGAACAACTCACTGAAACTCATACATCATTGAACTGAGACAAACAAGAAATTTGCCTCCGCCCTCAATACTCGCCGTACTGCAGCCGTAAGCAAAATAAAAAAAAAATTAATCTGACATCACAAAACATTTACACAATTTGGGGAAATCGGGGGCCGGACAAGATTTCAATTCGGAAGGGAGGGAATTCCACTGTTGGGCGAGTCGGAAGGAGAACGATTGCAGGCCGAGGTCGGTGCGCGCTTTTGGGGGTATGAGTCGGTGCTCGCCGTCTGTGTTTCGCATCACTCGCCCCACTGTGATTCGCGCCATCGCGTTCATGTTTGTCTCACCATCACGACACTTCCGAAAAAAAGTCAAGTCGTGAAGTAAACAAGACGTGATTTTGTGCTAATTTCCACAAAAAAATGAGGTCATGTAAAAATATTATCGCTCAAAGGAAAGGATTACTTTTGTTCAGAAACTTTAAGATAAAGGTTGTTTAAAGGTGATTTTGTCAAAGCAATTGCTTTTTTAGAATAATATTGAAAAATGTTTTGATACTTAATCAGTAAATTTATTTTCATAATTCATATTTATAGTATATTAAAAAGTTAAATAAAACGTTTGAAGGAGAAAAAGCATTTTAGGGGAATGGTAAAATAAAATCCATAAATTTCAAAATTTTGATTGTTGTATATATAATGTATGTATCCAGTTAATTGGTAAGTAATAATTTAAGTTCAATTTTTTTTCAAGTTCATTGTGCATTCCTAACGCCAAAAACTGAAGAGTAATATCAAAATTTTCTTGCAAGACTTTTATTGTCTATAACAAATGCAGACAAGTGTATTCCTGAACAAAAGTGCATGCAGGAGGCTTAATTTAAGGTAACTGTTCCCCGAGCTTGTTGCATTCACCGTCGTCGGACACCACTGGAGGCGGCGGCGGCACAGCACAATGGAAAATATTTCTGTGTGGCGTGTTCGCCGAGGCATCTCTCAAGACGGCAGCAGCACCTGGCGCTTTTCTCCACTGTAAGGCCGAGCAATTTCTCTGCGTGCACCGAGAGTTTCTATTAGACGCGGTCTTATAACTGTGTGTGCGAAATGCAATTACGTCCTAAGCATATCACGCCACTATTCAGTGAAGTAATTTGTGCTGCTGACCATTGCTGGAGACGTCGTTAGGTGCATTTAATAGCGGCAAGAGTAATTAGTTTGAGACGCTTTTTGAATAATTAGACAAAGGATGTTGAAAATCTCGCCGCATTTTTTTGTGTCACTCTCAGCAGGCGAGATGATTAAAAGGGCCCCGTTGCCGAATGAAAAGCGCTTTTCATGAGTAAACAATTCGCACTTTGGAATTGTATAAATTACTCTCTCGCGCGCCGCCATTTGAATGGTAAAACGCATACACACCGCTTAATAACCCTTTTTGTAATTCCTTCCTCTACTCTCGCGCGTCCTTTGTGAATTCATTTTGCATTTCGCTTGGCCGCATTTTGCTTTGTGCAGAGCAGACACGTCCCACTTCTCCTTGGGACTTTTGTCTGCGCCGAAGAGAGAAACACTTGTTTGCTTTAACACATCCGTGATTCTGATTCTGTTAGGCCACACAACCTAGTAAATTCTCTCATTTGAAAACAAAATCATCATCCTCTCAAAGGGCAAAATCAATCAACTCTCTAATTTCTATACCATTTAAATAAATTCTTTAGAAATATTCCGATGAACAAAACTATTTGACAAAATCATACTTAATATGGAAAATACGAAAAAATATCAAAATCACAAATTTTTGTTGTGGTTAGAAAAAGTCTATTTGAGAAAAATGAGATTTTTATAATTTTGTATTCTCTCCAATGTTGGGAAGGATCGCTAACAAGTCCATCACAAAAAGTAATTAATGCTTATAATAATGTTTAATTAATGAATCTCCGGAAATTCTCAGCAATGATACATCATCTAAAAATTCAATAATATAAATTTAAATTTTAAGCTTCATTGGTAAGAAATAATGATAAAAATATGACAAAGCAAATATTTGACTACAGACCACTTATTTAATATATAATTATATTTCCATACGTCTTGCGAAAGTGTCCTTGCCAAAAATAAATTAAGTGTATTCTTTTTCATTGTAATGTAAAAGGGAATTCCCAAATACGATGAATTTTGCTACTAGTCACTTTACAAAACAGGATGAATTCTTTTCTTATAAAATTGAATATTTTACCCCTCTCATTGTCAATTGCACCTTGAAAATCTTCTGGAAAAATAAATGCAATAAGTATCCTATGCAATGATTTTTTTTGTTCAATTAAACATTTAGGTAAATAAAAATCTAAACATTTTTTAAATCTATTTTTGTATACAAATAGTAATTTTGCTAGACAATTACCCCCGCAAAACAAATATGTGAAGTGAATTAAAGGATATGACAATGCAGATAAAAATTACCTATAACCCCTTGAGCCAATAAATCATGATCAGCATAAAAAAATTAACAATTGTCATTTATTGCGAGTCAGCATCATGTGCAAACAATGGATAATTTGCTAATTAATAATGCACGCGCGCGGCAGGATCTTTGAACAAGCGCAAAAAAGGTTAATACAGCATGTAAACGAGACGGACGACATCGAGTTGTATGGGAAATTTCAGCACTCGCCGAAATGACAAAGTCAATTTCATCCATATAAGATTTTCCGATGTATCCTCTCTGGCGTAATTAGCAATTGTATGCATGCGAGTTAGTTAAAGCCACCGTCTCGCAAAACGACCTCAGTGAAAAAGTAACAATACCTTGTACGCCAAAATAGCGCAGCGACCGTCGCCAGACACATTACTATTTGCAAGTCATTTAATGGCCATAAAAAATCATTTCTAGAGAAATAAAGCTTGTACAGGAACTAGAAAAAATTGCAGCGAGAGTGAACAAAATTTTGAAAGGAGTGTAAATTTAATGATTGATGCAAAAACTTTTTCTTGTCTATTGTCCGTAAATATTTTCTGAAGTTAAACTTCATTCACGAGACATCTGAAAAACAATTCATAATTAAGAAAGCGTCTTTTGGTGCCTCTTGCGTAATTCGCAAGCCACTTTGGCACATAGTCACCTACGCAAAAGAACAATAGAGGCGTGAAATAGCAATACTTGGATCATAGACCTGAAGAATATGTAGGTGGAGTACCATAAATTCTTTTGCATTGTTCTGTTATAGGAGCCGGAATGTTTAGTTTCAGTAAAATTAAATAACTTCATACTTCAATGCGGTCAAAATTATCAATGATAACAATTTTATTGGAAATCATGGTTAATTCAATAATAAATACTCAATTTTTAAATTTAGAATGCTTAAAAAGAATGGCAAGTAGAAACATTCGGCTTATAATAATTTATAGAAATATTATATTTTTATTCTGGAAGGAATTACTACAACTTTTAAATATTCATGTTCAAATTTATTTTCTCATTTTTAATTTTATAAAAATTATTTCACGCATGAACTCATTTTAAACAAATGTAGAATTAGTACTTAAAATAAATTTTCAACACTTCTGTTCAAAACGATTGATCTCATTCAAGGAAAAGTAATAAATAGAGGCAAGAGAAGGATCATTAAATGCTGGCTGATTACTGACTCCAAAGATTTAAATTATAAAATCAATCCCAATTTCTCAGTACGATTTACTCAATTATTTAAAAAAATAAAATAAACAAAACTGCATACTAATCAAGACTGTCTCTATCACTTTCTAGTTGCAAAGTGTCTTTATTGATTGTATCAGAAGGCAATTACTGCCCAGGTACATCATACATACATTCAAATAAAATTATTTAATTAATTTCTATATCAGTGTGGTCCAGCGAAATTTCTCTAACAATCCATGACCAAGTCTTGCTAATGTCTGTAAATACGACGTTCTTGGATGGGTCGCAGGAGTTTTGGTTGCGATCCCACACCGCTTGGCTGACGATGCCGCGGATGTACCATCGTTTTGATTGCGCAGAACGAATGTAAAGCCCTCCGCCACTGTCCCCTTTGCACGGTCCTCCACCTCCATCTAATATTTTTAGAAAACATTAAAAAAAAATTCTTAAAACACGGAACATGTGTACTTTGTTGTGAGCCTGCACAGAGAGTCAAGTTTGTCATGAGTTTTGCAATGTCACTGTCTTGATTGCAATTAAAATCGGAGCGGACAGACATTTCAATTTCCTTCGGAGTGCTCGTCAAACTATTGCCAAGCTCGTCGCGACCCCAACCAATCACCTACACTGCATTTGGATTGGAAATCAAAATGATTCAAATTTTCATACTTGCCCAGTATCACTAATGCCTCTGTTTGGGTACCAAAGACACACAGGTCTGATGTACGCGTTAAATCTGACTTCTGTTTTGAGCGTGATAATGGCAAGATCGACGCCTGTATTCCATGCATAGCCTGGGTGGTTGGTTATTTTCTCGACCTATACTCACAAATTATTTATTATTATTTTAATATCACTTCAGTGGAGTAATTTTGCCTTACGTCTTTTGCAGTGGCTTCTTTTTCGGTAAAGCTGAAAATGTTGTGCTTGCCCAAGAAAACTACGTAGTTTTTCACATTATTTTGTTTTTGGTAATTTGACACACAGTGCGCCGCTAGTTAAATACAACATTGTAAACATATTTTAAAAAAAATTCAGTCCACGCACCTGTTATGACATGCTTTTTGGAAATGAGAGTGCCGCTGCACACAAACTGTGGGCCCCTCTCATTATTTTCGTAAATCGCACTCAGCCAAGGGTAAGAACCTTTTGCGATATTTTCACCATTTACGATTAACTGGATCGGGATTTTTGTAGATGAAGACTTTCCGCAACCAAGAAACTCAATTTCTGCAATTCAAAAGGTTTTTTTTTTATATAAAATCAAGGAAACTGTTTTTTCTTTTTACCAGGGTCTTCTTCTTCTTCCGCTGCTGGGCAAGCAAGAGAAAAATCAATAGGTGGACACCTTGTTGGTGGTGGTACAGGTGGACACCTAGTCGGTGGTGGTGCAGGTGGACAGAAAACTGGACGTGGCGTTGTACATGTGCACTTTGGTGGTGGAGCGCAAGTAGTTGTTTGAATAATTGGTGCAGGTTGATATTGCTCATCATTATCAAATTGATTTCGAAATGGCAACTCCTGATTTTTATTGCTTGTCTCTTCTTTTGGTCCGTAAAATAAATCATAGCCAAGTTTGATTGACGTAAAATGACCGGCGGGGTCGTCAACTAAAATTAACCCATTTATATTTGATTTGAAACGGTAACAAATTTTCCAACCTGGTTCGTAATTGCAAACAGACTTGCCATTTACTGATACACTTGTGAGGTACGGAATAGGCGACCGAACAGGGAAGTGCACTTGGAACTTGATGGGTGATCTGTTATTGTTTTTCAGGCGTCTAAAAACACTGTTAACATTTTCTGCAATGCTAATTTTCCCCACGTAGCTCTATGAAAGAAAATATAAAAATTAATAATAACTCATATTTATATGTTTGAATACCGTGTCAATTTTTTCATGGACCATTATGTTGACAATCAAATTCACTTTGGAGATGTTTTCCGGCGGGGGAACCTGCAGTTCACCGCCTGATAGATCCGCGTCATAATTGAAGTAATTTAAACAAGGGTTGTTGTTATGGAAGGTTCTGCGACAGTCCGTTCCGAGCAAGTTGTTGGCCGTTATCAGTGCCAATAGAGGCCACATTTCTAATATATTTTTAGTATTTCTTGCTGCTGGAGATAAAAATTCAATTGAAATTCAATAAATAAAAATAGTTATAATAATTTAAAATTTTCCAGTTTTCCTCACAAAAAAAAAACGGCTACATACTATCCACCAACTGATAAAAGATGACCACAACGATAGAGTGTATCGTTTGCACTTAACAGCTCAAAGTGGACTGACGAAAAATCAAGAATCTTTTCAAGGTGAATGCAAAAAAAGGTGAACCAGGGCTTGCCAGTTACGAGTTACCTGCGGCCAATTATGTCTATGCCAAATTATTGTGTAAAAACCTGTTAAAGCAGTAGCGATTCTATAAAAGTATAGCCTAACTCATGTTAACAGGAACATGTTTAAAAAAATTAATATTATACTTCTTTGATCATCATAAAACCTCAATACATGTTTGCTATGATCACCATGCTATGCGTACACATCTTAAAATGCTATTTCATATATTTTCTTCTACATAACCACAAAATTTCCAAAATTAATGGAAAATAATTAAAAAAAATAAATTATTAAATGTAACTTATAGTATAGCCAAACCTCTTTAGGAGGTAATATATTATGGGGCGTCACGCTTTGACTTTTAGCTCTCACACAAGCAGACACGTGCTGCACACAATTATTCAATATTTTTTCCTCCAAAAATATTAATTGAATTTAAATATTGTTTAACAATAATAATATATTTTTTGAGAATAGTCGCAGTACTAATTTAAATAATAATATACGTTGATATTATTTTCTATTATTTTCCCTTAGAAACTGCTTAGAAATATTGCATTTTACATGAGAATTTATTTAACTTAAATCATGTATTTAAATAAAATTATCGTTTTTTTATATTACTTTCCAATGTTAGATATAATGTAAACATGTAAAGTCTAATCTACATGTCCTCTCTGATTTCTCAATAATGTCACCCCCATTTTTCGTATATAGTTCCCGTAACTCAGTTGAACAATCACGGGAAAAATTTGAAAGCACTAGAAGATAATAAGGTATGCATAATTTCTTTTAATAAAAAAATTGAATTGCTTATAGTTAGAACCAGTTAGAACCACCTCAAACATTCAAACGTAAAGACGTATTATTGCTAATATATAATAAAAGAAAAATAAAAAATTCAAATTAATAATCATTTTCTAAAACAGTGTGGTCCAGCGAAATTTCGTTAAAAATCCATGACAAGGTCTTGCTAACGTCTGTAAAAACGACGTTCTTGGACAGGTCGCAAGAGTTTTGTGTGTGATCCCACAGCGCTTGGCTGACGATGCCACGGATGTACCACCGTTTTGATTGCGCAGAACGAATGTAAAGACCTCCGCCACTGTCCCCTTTGCACGGTCCATTATCTAATTTTTACACATATGTTGTGAAAATGTTTTCTTGTGAAGATCTTAAGTTTACCTTGTCGTGAACCGGCACAGAGAGTCCAGTTTGTCATGAGATTTGCTATGTCATTGTCTTGTTTGCAAATATAGTCGGAGTGGACGGACATTTCAATTTCCTTCGGGGTGCTTGTCAAACTATTTCCGTACTCATCGCGGCCCCAACCAACCACCTAGATGAATGCATTAGGAATGGAAATCAAAATTATTTAATTCTGTATACCTGTCCAGAATTAGGAATATTTCGTTCTGGGTTCCAGAGACAGACGGGCCTGATGTATGCGTTAAATCTGATCGGTGTTTTGAAAGAAATTATTGCAAGATCGACGCCTGCATTATGGAGGTCTCCAGTGTAGCCTGGGTGGTTAGTAATTTTCTCGATCTAGACACAGGTTTCTAATATAATTAGAAAGAAAAAGCATATATTTTACAAAGGAAGAATCTCCAACTTTTCAGGGAAACGTTTAGAGATCAAGGATATTTCTTTTCAATACCCAGAATGTATTTTTTATGCAGATATTAATTATGCTTATAAATATAGATTAAATGTGCCGACACTCTACTCTCTTAAATGCGTAACGCAATAAAAAAAACATTGGGGATTATATTTTTTAATTCTGCAGATGAAAGAATGGAGTTTCTCTTGTTTTTCTGTTCAATAAATTTATAATTTTTCCTTACATCAACAGCAGCGGCTTCTCTTTCGGTGAAGGTGAAAATGTTGTGCTTGCCCAAGAAAATTACGAAGTTCTTTGCTTTTTTTGGTCTTTGGTCTTTAGACACACAGTGTGCCGCTATTTAAGTAAAATATAAATATCCAAAAGAGAAACTTTAAAAAAAATCTATGCACCTGTTATAATGTGTTTATTGGTAACAAGAGAGCCGCTGCACACAAACTGTGGACCTCTGCCGTTGTTCTCATAAATCGCACTCAGCCAGGGGTAAGAACCTCTGAAGATCTCATGACCATTTGAGATTAAGGGGACGGGGATTTTTGTAGATGATGACTTTCCACAACCATAAAACGTTTCTATAAAGTAAAATTCACATTTTATTTATGAATAAGATAATTATTTTTTTTATAAAAAAAGGTGTACCTGCACCAAATCTGTTATCTACTTCTTCAGATGGGCAAATAACCGGGGCTGGGACAGGTGGACAGCGGAGTGGTGATGGGACGGTCGGACACTTAGTTGGTGCTGGACAAACGACGTTTGGTGCCGGTGGACATCGGGCCGGGGATGCGACATTCGGACAAATGATCGGACGCTGCTCTGGACAAATGCAGCTTTTTTGAGGGGCGCAAGTTGTTTGAACGATTGGAGCAGGCTGATTATTTTGGTAGTTGTAATTGCCTCTTTCTTTTGAATCATAGTACATATCATAATTAAGTTTAATTGACGTGAAAACGCCCTGCTGACCAACTGGAATAATGAATTTATCCATTTTAATTTGATTTTGAAACAGTGAAAATTCAATCAATTTTCCAACCTGGTTCGTAACTGCAAATAGATAAGCCGTTCACAGATATTCTTGTGAGGTAAGGAATAGGCGATCTCACAGGGAAGTGTAGTTGGAACTTGATGGGTGATCTGTCATTGTTTTGCAGGCGTCTAAAAATGCTGTTCACATTTTCTGCAATGGTAATTTTTCCCACGTAACTCTGTCAATTGAAATTCAAAATTTAAGATATGAAAAATAAGTGTAAAAATACCGTATCGATTAGTTTGGTATGGACCATTATTTCGACGACCAAATTCACTTTTGAACTATCTCCGGGCGGTGGAATAAGCAAAGTGCCGCCTGATTGATCCTTGTAATAGTTGAAATATTGGGAACACGGGTTATCATTGTAAGATATTTCAAGAGATTTTGTGCCGCAGTTTGCTAGTACCAGTGCAAATGCTAATAAAGTCCTCATGTTGAGGATGCCTGAAGATAAGTTTTTTGTGGCGATATGCTGGGGAAAAATAATTATTTCAATATAATAGGGAAAAATACACTATGCACTTACAAAATCAAACTTTTCAACAAAATGCTTTTCTTGTGAACACGTACAGAGTCAAATACAAGCGAATTCTGTATTACATCGTTTGCAAGGGAAATCCCAAAGAAGACTGACCAAAAATCAAGAAACGTGCTCAAGGTGAACCGGAGGTACCTTACCTGCGACCAAGTTTATATAAAAAAATCAAGTTTTGAGAGTTGACCTCTTGAGATTATTATCAGCAGAATCCTTAGCTTGTTAAATTCCCAGTCAAATTTATGGTACAAATAACAGGAATTTATTGTGTTAAAGACTGACTGAGCAAAAAAAAACGTATAATTATGACAATTATGTAAATTTATTGGCACGACATTTTAAAGCTATGGAGAAGCAACAAAAAAATTATCATTTTCAAATAAACTTCTGGAATTAGTAAAATTGAGTTGAGCGCAAAGCCACGCAATTTTTTATTGTACTAGTATAATTTAATTACTTAAGAGAATGTGCTTTTTAAACTTATTTTAATAAAAAAGATTCTTATTAGAATAATATAATATAAGTTAGTTCTCTCCTCGCTTTCAATCATCGTAATTTGTAGAAAGTTACTTAAGCATTTCAATAATTTAAATTATATTACAATATCCCTCTCAAAATATTATGCATTTGTTTTTTAGTAATATATATATAAGAAAATAACTGAATTATTGTCATCAGAATAATATTTTTAGTAAAATAAAGAAATATTCACAAATGCAGTGAACTAACAAAAAGTTCACAAATTAAATAATATATATTTAATTTATATAATATTTTTACGATTATTATAACACTCCTAGATCAATACTGTAAATTCTAGACCATCTGAACCATGAAACAACAAAAATGCTTGTTTGCAATTTGAATACCTTTCATAATATATTTCTGAATTTTTATTTAATTGCATGCAACATAATTAAATTATTTGTTAATAAAAAAAATAAGGTAAAAATGAACAATTTTTGTATGCAAGGTACGCTCGTGCAAAAAAACTTCCTCTTGTCGATTCATCTCACGCACCGTGGGCTATCTACTTTGTTTGACAAGAAAGAAATTATACAAATAAACACGTAATTCCACGCACGTCATTATATATTTAATTGGCAGAAAATAATAAATATAACTATAAGGAGAAACGTCTACGTCAATTTTAATTAAATATTAGTCAAAACTTGCGCACTCATTTAAATTTTTTCACTTCTCACAATTTGTCGATCAGCGTCTTTTTGTAACTACAGACGACGATAGTGCTCTCGTCCATCCTCGATGACTACCTAAAAATTTCATAGGGCTTTGATATAGTCATCGGACCCTACGGGAAAACCCCTTGAGGTGCAAATATTCGAGACTACGTCAGGGAGGACAACGATCGTCACAGCCAAGGCCTTGTGTTTCTTTCAGCGTTGAGAGTTGAACAATAAATGCACTGAACATTTTTACAGCGCTTTTTATCCTTGACGTTAACCCAACTCCCCAGTCGGAAAATCCGCTTCCGCAACACCACCAAAATACTTTCATACCTCGGCAGTAATTACCACTACCCCTTTCAAAAGTATACTTTCGTTCTTTTATTAGATCCACATTCACGCTTTTGTGCCGTACAAAAAAAAATTAGCATGATTCATGATTTTCTTTCAAGATATGTAGAGAGGAAAGGTTTTGAAGCAAATAGAATTGCTCTTACACAAAGACAAAAAAGGATGATGAGACGAATTGCAGGTTAATTTGAGCGCACTTGACCTAATCTTTGTAAAGCGAGAATGCCGCCACGCCGCTCGCACGTGCTGAGCAAAAGGAATTGCATTTTTGTACAAGAGAGTGCTTTTAAAAGTCGGCTGCAGCATGACTGGCAACATCTCTTTCAGCATACAAATTTCATTTTTGCCGCCGACGCTTGATTGAGGTGGCAAAGAACGGGCAGTGAAATTTGCAAGACGTGGCGAGAAAAGTAGCCTTTGGGCTCAATAATGACAAATCAATTGTTAAATTTATTTAAAACTGTCCATGCATCGTGGACTGGGAAGTGAAATTAGTTTTGGAAACGAATAAAGAGATATTAAGAAATCGCAAACAAAAATCTTGTTTGAATCACTTTAATAAAAATTCTAGTGCTTGGGGGAGAGAAAAAAATGTAGGCAATGGTGTAATAGAGTTAGTCACAGATGTGGTGCAAGTGGGCGGTAGGCGTCAAAATATTTGGGACACACGAAAAACACAATGATTAATAGACGGGATATTCCCAAAGATTACACACAAGCAGATATTCATTTTACTCGTATTTGTGCATAATCTGATTTGATCAGTGCCTGCCACGAGCTCAATAATTTTATATTTTATAATAAATTGGGATATTTCACTAAGTTAAAGTTTATATTTTAAAATAATTTTTAAAAATGATAAGAGTAAATTTTTTACATTAATGGTGACTAAACTTTTATTTTATTATTGGAGAAAACTTACTTTTACAAATGAATAAACTGGAGTAAGGAGAGAAAAATGTAATTAAAAAGCAGGTGTGATCCAGTCTCATCGAATTCAGTCCCGTTTCACTCTCAGTTTCCAGGCGCCTCGGTGGCCACTTCGTAGAGCCCTCGTTTGAAGAAGGGTCCCTGCTGGACAAAATCAGCCAGTTCGGTCCGCTGCCTTGGTGTGACTTTGAGATCTGGGTTGTAGCTGAGCACTTTGGCTATGTCGTGCTTGGCTCTGAGGACGTCTGGGTTTCCACCGGTGCCACTGCCTTTGTGCACACCACAAGCAGCCTCTCGGTTGATCAGCCACTCCAGCAGGCCGGGAGTCTCGGCCATGGCGTTTTCACCCCACGGCTGCTGACTGATGACCAAGAGGAGCTGCAGGGCGGGCAGCACCGTCTCGGTGAAGGGCTCATTGCACATTTCGAAAACGTGACGCACAGACGTGAAGATGTTTTCGAACCAGTTTTTGGTCAGCAAGCAGATTTCCCCAGCTTGCTCCTCACTCTAGAAAAGACAATTGATTTCTTTGATAATAAAAAAAATTAATTTAACTGACAGAAAACACTTTAAAATTAAAAAAAAGCAATTTATTTCATTTTTCGAAGAGTTTGGAAATAATTTTAATGAAAAAGAAAACGTCAAATTTTTTTCTCCAAAATATTAAATTTTACAAAAAAAAAAAAAAAATTGGATACTAACTGGGTGATTTATGCTGAATATTTAAATTAGCATCAAATTTAAAATATTCACTTCAACCTTTGATAAAAGAAAAAATTTTCAAGCAAATCTTTAGTCACCTTTACAAAGAGAAGAGCAGCAGAAGTGTCCAAGACACACATTTTGTCCTCCTGAGCACCACTGTGAACACATTTCTTGAGATATGTGAAGAAAGAGTCCAACAATTCATTCTGTTGTGAGAGGTAAAATTTTCCACCCAGTTTTGTAGCAACCTATCAAAAAATAAATTAGAAATTTTTAAATTATGTTTTTTAATCAAAATACCTGTCCAATCATAGCAATTTCAGCTCGGATGATATGGGGGCTGTCACTGGCAGTGGACACAACTTGGAGGATGTGAGGTACAAACCGAGGGCACTCGTGGAGAATTTTCTCAGGAACATTTTGGCACAAATTTCCAAACAGCTCGTACAATTCTTAATGAATCAATTAGTGAGTTTAAAATAATTGTACAATTTTGAAATATTTACCTGGCATCACAATGCTCTGCATTGGGCCAAGATTTTCAGAAACCAAGCTGTCCTCCAGTTTGATCAAAATGCCACTGCTTGCCAAAAAGTTGAACCCCCACTCGATTTTGCTCAACTTGCCAAAGCACTCAATGATATTCACGAGACTAAGTGGGTCTGATCGAGCCTTGTCACTCTCCAACCATTCCTTCATTAATAAAAATAATCATTTTATTTTAAAATTGTCTACCAACCCTTATCAAAAACGAGACCATTGGAAGTTGTACTCAAGATTGACCACCTCTCGTGATTTCATATTAAAAACTGCCCCTCCAAGTCAAACGGCCTTTTAGATCGACAACCTCAAGTACAACCTCGGACAGTCTTGTTTTTGGTAACTGAATTTACTAACCTGCATGTGGAATAGAATCTTGCTATCCACAGCCACTTTAAGCGACTCCTCAGATGCACAGGCAGCATCAACAGCAAGCTGAAATAAGTAATTAAATAATAAATAAATATTATATACATAATTTTGATTTATTTTCCATCATTAAAAAACATACATTGAAAACCCTAATGTGAATGACCTCCGAGACGGATTCCCAATCAGCTTTCAGCACCTCTCCGACAGCGCCCAGAAGCACCAGTCTACTTCCTTCAGGGCTCAGGCGAACCAAACTTGTCAGGGCATTCAATCCAGGGGCGGCAATCGCGATGTCAGGGTTTGAAGCAAGTTTGGCCACTCGGCACAAATAATCAAGGGCTGGCACAAGGCAGTCAATTTCATGCGAATTGATCAGATGAACCAGCTTAAAATTGAAATTTATTTTGTTAATTTTTTTTTTACATTAAATAGAAATTGAGTTTTACAGGAGAGACTCCAGCGCTTCTGATATTCACGTCCATGTGCTCAACCATCTTGCTGAAGAGCTCGTGGAATTCGACAAAAGTTTCGGATGGTTTCTTGAACTCAAACAGCAGCCGGACCAGATCAGCAAAGCTCTCGAAGAACGCAGGACTGAGAGAAACAAATAAAAATTGGAAATCTTCAACCAAACAAAGGAAAAATCCAACCTTCCTCCATCGAAATCGGGAGTCAAACCCCTGACAATGCCGTGGAAATCAACGTCGGTGTACAAATTCTTTCGAGTGTCGCGATCCAACTTCCGCAGTTCCTCTGCCATCACCGGAATGTCATCTTTGGTGAAGGTTGCCACCTTTTCCCTGAACCACTCGTTGTCTTTCACGGTCATGTCAGCAGAAAATTACTGGTTTTCGTACAGAAAGACTCAAAAAATCTCAAAATGCAGACAAAACAAGTGAGAAAAAGTTGCCAGTCATACAAGAAACGCCGGCAAACGCTCTTCCCCCTTTGTTTACACCGGACTGCCACTACAACAAAAATGGACCCGTCCTGAAATATTTTGTACATGGATACATAATACAACCCATGCAATTGATTTACAATATTAAAAATTGTAGCATATGATTTCTTTTTCATTATTTTTATTTATTAAAAGGTTGTAAGAATAAAAGATCTTTTTCCATTTTTATATTACTCAAATTTTATTACAGATAAGAAAATCAAATCTGCATCCAAAATCCCACAGAGTTTTAATAAAACGTTTTAACCCAAATTTACACAAGTGCACATAATCATAGAGCTCTATCACTAATTACAGTCACAAGACGACAGACACATACTTTTCCATCGACAAATTCGGGATTCGGGGACACTTTGTGTATGCAATAAATAATAAAAGGTGGTGGTGTATACATTTTACTATGTCAAGTTCTTATCTTTCTAAAAGGGCAAAGGAAAACATTTCCTACATCAGATTTTCCAAAACAATGGAGGGTGCGCTGTTATAGCAGATCATTTCCTAACACTAGGCAGACGATGACCATAATTTTTATAAGTTAAATTTAACTTGGCGTTATCACAAAGTTTGCAGATTTCCCTTCACGCGTCTGCTTGTGTTTTCAACATTGTGTGGGGGACAAGAGGATTGCTGGTCTCAAACAGAAGGGCTCGGAAATCCAGGGTTCTCAATTTCCAGGAGATCAGAAATGGCAAATTCACCAAAACCAGAGACTTTGAACATTAGAAAATCTCAGTCGCTCAAATTTCCCCTTTTCCCAGCCCTTCACCAAGGGGTTTTTATCTACATGGCAATTTTCAGGGTTGCAAATTAGCAAGAATATTTTCGATATAAATGCTCTGGTCGATTACACCCTCAGAATCTCCAGGGACCGGTTGTAGCAAATTGCAATCCAGTCGGGCTGCGTTGCTCCCCACTGGATCTGATTGATTTCACCCTCGGCTGCAGTGTAGGCCAGAATGGGGTCTTCGATTGCCCTCGGCATCTGCTGGATGTCCCAAATCAAGGCCTGGTGATCGTCACCTGCAAATTCAGTATTTTAGACTTATTTCAAGAAAAATATCAAGTTTTTTATTACCAGCTGTACAGATGTGACAAGACGAGTGAGGAGCCCATGCAATTCCATTCACACAGGCTCGGTGGTTGTTCAGGCGAGCAACTGGGGTGCACGGAACACGGACATCCAAAATAATGACCTGAAAATTTTAGATTGACAAAGATTTATTTACATCTCCTCCACGTAAATAATCATAGAAATAAAGCAGTGGTTATGTCAATACAATTAACATGAATAATCATTTAATAAATATTAAACTTAAAAATAATTTAAAATATTAGAATTAAATGAATTATTTATAACTTGATTATAAATTTTACCTCACACGCATCCATGGCCACGGTGGCCAGATAATTGGGATCCTGTTTGTTCCAGGCTAGGCGCAGAAGTGGTGTGTGCTGCGGGTCTTCATAAATAATGGTTGAATGTTCAAGATGCCTTAAATCAAACATTCGAACTGAGCCGTCTGCTCCAACAGAAGCAAACATGTCCCGTCCTCCGCCTGCTCTGCTGAAGGCAATGTCGTAGACTTCCTTGTCATGGGCTATCAACTGTGTCTTGACATGCCCTGTGACCAAATTGACTCGGCCCAACACCTATTTGGGAATATAAGTAAAATTAGAAGAACAAGAAATGGAATTTAATTCATTCTAAAAGGTCATCTTGAAAATTAGTAAATACTTCGAAAATTGATTTTCAAAAATATTATATTTGTAATTCTGGTTTTTAACAGCAAAGAACCAATTCAAGCTTAAGTTTTCGTTAATAAATAGAGGAATAATTTCATACTTGGCCAGTTTCCAGGCCCCAGATGGTGCAGGTGGTGTCTATGCTTGAGGTCCCAATCAGATTCGGGTCCACCTCATTCCAGTCAAAAGAGGTCAGCGGCGCACAGAAGTCGGAATTCTTGTTCTGAAATAGAAATTAAACGCAATTATAGGAAACATTTTCCCCACATTTTCAAAATACTTTTACATTATTCAAGACACACTCTAGCCTCGTCTCAGCGTCAGCAGCTCTCCAAACCCTCAAATAATCCCCACTTGTTGCTAGGAGATCAGGAAATACCCCTTTCTGCAATCAAGTCAAATCATTAGTATTTTTTTTATGGCACAAATTTTGTCAATTCCCATACACTATCAGGAATCCACATGATTTTGGTGGTTGGGTACGGGTGGTCAAAAGTACTCCTGGCCGTGAATTCAGAATTGTCCTCGTCGAGGCTCACAATCTGGACCTTGTTGTTGTACTCTTCGACAAAACTGCCGAGAGCCAGTCTGCTAACAAAGATCAACCATAAATTGCATTCAAAAACACATCAAACGCTGTATGCGGATACACTAACCTAAACCTCTTGTCGGGCCGCACCGACCAGTTCATGCTGTACAGAGGCCACGGCGCCTCGTATTTGTATATTTCCTTCCGTTTTGGCTGCGCCCCGTGCACCGCCATGGTTGAGTTCGAGAATTTCAACAGTTTCTGAAACAAAATCAATCAGTAAGTTTACCACCGAGTGGCCGCCTTTCGAAATCTCACTGCTCAGCAACACGCTCGAAGTCGAGCGAGAACGCAAGGCTAATTTGCAGTGGCGTCAAAATATGCGCCTCAAACCCGACTTCCGTCCGGAAATCGCATCGCCGCCTTTTGGTCCACGGGCCGAATTTCGGCGAAATGAATTTCGACTTTTAATCCTTCCTAGGCGCACCGGAATTTCTTTTTCGCGAGCCGCATAAACAAAGCCGCCGAGACCTCAAAACATCACTCTTTCTTCTCCAGCAGCTAGACCGCCCGCCCCCTCTCCTCCCTCCTCTGGTATTTCGGTACCCAACGAGGCCGCTTGACACTTCTTCGTGTGTCTCCGTGTGCCTGCACCTGTCAGTTCTCGCAGCGGCCAACAGATGGCGAAAAACCGGCATATTTGGCAAGCAAATTTTCCTTTTGATGAACTTCGTGATTGCTTTTTTGGATCAGAGATAAAGGGTTGGCGGTGGAAAACCAGAAACCGAAAGGGACACGTCAAGAAAGATGAGCGCCGTCGAATCGCAAGAGAGCAACGTCCTCATCCTCTCAGCCGTCATCGGAGGAGCCATCCTATTTTTCATTTTTTACTTCCTGAAAGCGGCCAAGTCTGAGGAAGACGAGAGCCAAAAACAAAACGCCGGTTTGTTTTCATTGAATTAATTTTAACAAAATTAATGTATAATGTAATTTTTGTGCAATAAATTTTCAGAAGCGGAAAAGTCGAGGCAAGGTTCCCGTAACGGAGCTGCTGTGAAGAACAAAAATGACGAAGGAAAGCAAACCTCAAAGAAGAGCAAGCCACCTGTCCGGACCGACCAGAAAGCTGCAGCCTTCACTCATCCCTGGCTGTCCACCTCGCTGAAGGGACACAGTTCGACCGTCCTGTCGATGGACTTCAGCAGCAATGGCAAATATTTGGCGTCTTGTGGTGATGGTATAATAATAATATTAAAAGGGGTTGTCAAAATATTAAAAGAAAAAAAATATCTTGCAGACAGATCTGTTTTCCTATGGCCTTCGAAGGATTTCACCAGCAAGGAACACAAGAGCCTTCGGATCAACATTGAATTTGATCATGCAACTTACATTCAATGGAGTCCTGACTCAAAGGCGTTCATCATTCACAAGGCAGTGGAGAACTGCTTGGAAGTTTACAAGCTGAATAAAAAGTCTGATGGGCATGGTTTCAGTGGTGCCACAAAATTGACCACATTCCCAAAGGTATTATAAATTTTCAAATTTTTTTATAGTAAATAATTTTTACAATTGATTATCAACAGCAACACGTCGAGGATGTTGTCGGCATGGGCATTTCCTGCAATGGCAAATTCATAATGACCTGCTCAAAACTGACTGACCTTGTTCTGTGGGACTTGAAAGGGCAAATCATTACCACGGTTGACACATACCTGATGAACAATAATTGCGCCAGGGTTTCTCCCTGCGGTCGATATGTTGCTGCTTCAGGTAAAAATTTAAATAATATTCAAGGCTAAAAAAATAATCTTTTCTGTTAAGGATTTGCACCTGATGTGAAAGTGTGGGAAGTTGTGTACAACAAATCAGGAGATTTCCAGGCCGTCAACAGAGCTTTTGAGCTTCAAGGCCACAAGTCTGGTGTGCTGGACTTTGCTTTTAACTGTGATTCGACAAAAATGGCCACAGTTTCGAAGGACGGAACTTGGAAGGTTTTCAACACAAAAAGTATGCATGCGTTTGTTTCTAGACGAGTTCTAGAATTTTTAAATTTGCAGTTGAGTACCAGAAGGGAGAAGATCCCCATTTGATTCAGACCGGAAAACACGACTATGCATCTCAGGAAGGCAATCGAATTGCCATTTCGCCTGACGGGCAGTTGGTTGTCTGCTCGTCAGGGTCTTCCATATCCTTTTATTCCGTTGAGACTGGAAAGTGTGAAGGATTCATTCAAGATGTTCACACCAGTAATTTTTTTTTGTCCATGCATCGTAAGAACCATATTAATAGTTCTATTTCTAGGCCCCATTACTTGCGTCCTCTTTGATTCATCTGGGGAACATTTGTTGACTGCTGGTGATCGCCACATTCGAGTCTTCCACAATGTTGTTGGTTTCCAAATCAAGCTGCTCTCACTGAAGACCAGCCTCAAGGGCAGTAACCAGTCATCGGCTATGAAGGAAAGAATCCAGCAACAAATTTCCCAGACTGAGACTTTCTTGAAGAAATTTGAGAATTAAAAATTTTCTATTTTTGTATTTTCTTACGATCTGAAAAGTTATAATAAATGCCACAGAAACAAATTGTGCTTTTGAATAAAGAAATTTGTCCCGAATTTGCACTTGATATCAAATTTTTATTAAACTAATGTAACATGGTTACAGGAAAGTTGAACATTTAACACAATTCCACAAATTAAGTATAAGGTAAACTAGTCAAATTTATATTTGTGATAAATACAACGGACCGACTGAATTGTTTCAATGGAAATATCAAACACATATCTGAACATGGCGTGAAGTATACAACTGTCTTCCAAAATCTTGCCCACATGTAACAATCTTGTAAAACCTACCTAAAATTAAATTAAAACATTCCTGTATAAATTGAAGTCAAATGACATAATTGTTCAACTATCCACATGTTATAATAACGTATGCTGCCAACAAATTAAACCTGATTAATTCACTAGGAACACAATTGTTAAACATTTGGCAAGAAACTAGAAAGATATGTGTATACCTTAAAAAATCAATTTTAATTTTGAGGCCATTATTTTAAAGCACATTACTCATTTTCACTTACAATTTAATTAACTAGTTGTAAATAATTAAGCATCTATCTTTACCAGTATACGATAAATTACACAGATCAAATAATGCAATAATTATTGAAGCGGGGTCTTTCTTTTTCGAAAAGAAAAAGTATCAAGTAGTGTGAGAGGAGCTGTGCCGATCACGTCTCAATGCATCAGTGCTGCAGGTTTTGTGACACAGACACGCCCAGAGTGGAACTTGGTTCCTGATAAGAGAACTGTGAAAAGTATGGCTGCTGCTCCATTTCCTCGGTGATGCTGCACAAGGGGCCCTGTTCCGGAGGCGTCAACTCCACTGACTCGCCTGTAAACTCCTGGTCAAAGTACCGAGTGTCTGTGTCTGAGGTCACTTGTGGTTTGAATGGAGGTGGAATCTAAAATTAAAATTTTAAATTAAATAAATTAACCATAAATTTATTTGTTTGAAGAAGTTGACACTCGAGGAGATGATCATGGAAATGAAGAGATCGGGCTTTTCCTCGTTGCAGAAAAATTGTTTTTATTCAAAAACAAATGGCTCTACCAGTTTCGGTCACGGTCTGCGACCCTATTTCATGAGCAAAACGCGCTGCTCGCTGTATTAGTCAGCGAGCAGCGCGTTTTGCTCATGAAATAGGGTCGCAGACCGTGACCGAAACTGGTAGAGCCATTTGTTTTTGAATAAAAACAATTTTTCTGCAACGAGGAAAAGCCCGATCTCTTCATTTCCATAAATTTATTGTTTAATTTTTTAAACCTTTTTCTGCACAAGGTCATTCCAGTTAATGCTGACAAAGAATGGGTGGTTCATTATATCCTTGGCATCATCCTGGCCGCCACCTAACCGCTTGTTAGGGTCCTTGATCAGAAGGCCAGCTAAAAGTGACTTTGCATCGCTGGAGATATTTCGAGGGAATTTCACCTATAAATTAAATTTATCTAACGAATATATTCCTTAAATTCATTTAAACTGGACAAACCTCCTCCATGAGGATAAGTGTGAAGAGGACGTCATGGTCTCTGTTGTAGAAAGGCAGGCGGCCGCAGACCATTTCGTACATGACCACCCCCACACCCCACCAGTCGACAGCGCGGCCGTAGTCATTATCTTCGAGAACCTCTGGAGCTAAATACTCTGGTGTTCCACAGAAGGTTTTGGTTGTCTGTCCATAGGTTATGGCCTCTTTACATAGTCCAAAGTCTGCAATCTTTATGTGACCATCCTTATCGAGTAACAAGTTTTCAAGCTGAAACAAAAATAAAAAGAGGTCATTCATTTTTTGCAATCTGACGTAAATTAGAGATTATGGCAGAAAATAAAATATAATTTCTTGTGAAATAATGAAGAAGAATTAAATTTAATTCCATCTTCAGTTGTATCAAGTTCCAGTGAAAGCACTAGATTATGCCGTCTGAAATTGATTGTAAAATGCGTAGTGCAAATTTCTACTGTCAGAATTGACGTTAATCCAAACGGATGACGCGATTATCGGCCGCTAATTAATGGAAATATGTTGCCAACATACTTAACATCCATTAACACCACTGAGAGATAAAATTTTTATCACAATGGCATGCAGAGAAGCCGCAAAATTTCAAAAGATGCGATTCTGTATAAAAGAACTAGGAATTGGGAAAATTTTCAGTGACGAAAGGACTAGCAACACACCAGTACTTCTGATAACTAAGGTGTTAATATGGCTAAAATTTCAGCAATTTTTGTGCTCATTATTTTTGGATATATGGCATTGGTGAGATTGATACAATTTGACTTTCAAAACTGATTAAATAATAATAATTTTTGTATAATTTGATTTCAAGATCGAGGCCAAAAACATCCGGAATGGAGGAGAGCGTAAGAAACCAATTAATGAATCTTAAAAAAGTGATTCAATCTAACATTTATAGGCATTAAGAAGTTTTTTACAATCAACGGGAGCGAGTACTATATTGACACTGATGGGGTGAGTGCAAAATTTATACAAATTTATAAATACAAAAAATATTATAAATAATTTTATGCTTTCAATATTTCTAACGATTTCTTATGTCATTCAGTGGATGACCTATGCCGACGCCAAGCGCGATTGTGAAAGCCGAGGATCAAGACTGATCACTTTCTCATCCCAACAAAAGTATGATGAGATTTTGAACTGGCTGAAGGACAATCGTAAGTTGTACAATTATGTGTTTTTTAAGGCTGAGAATTCAAATTAAATATAGAATTGAGCTGGCAATGGTTCTGGACTGGCGGCTACAGGAACTTTAACTCTGATCAATGGGTTTGGGGCCACAATAATGAAAGAATCGGCAACCTTATTTGGGCGGCCAACAGACCAGAAGCACAAGTTTTGTCGGAGTCAAGGTGCATAACTTTCAGCCCCGACTTTAACGGCTGGGATGACGATGGTTGTTCAATTTTTTTGCCACACATTTGTGAAAAATGTCAATGAGCATGAAGATAATTTTACAATTAGGAATGTAACTATTTATTAAACAAATAAGCATTTTTTTTTTATCTTAAACAGTTTTTTTTTATCTCAACTCACCTTTAAATCTCGATAGATGATGCCTTGACTGTGCAAATAGGCAAGCGCTGAAATAATCTCGGCGCCGTAAAACCTCGTCCTGTCCTCACTGAAAAATCGCTCCCTTGACAGGTGAAAGAAAAGCTCCCCGCCATTCACATACTCCATGACAAAACACAGTCTGTCGACTGTTTGGAACGAATACTTCAGACTCTGAAATCAAATAATCCGAAATAAAGAAATTGAAAGAGTTATCTTATTAAAGGACTAACAATGAGGAAGGGGTGGTTTGTCGAACGCAAAACCCTGCTCTCAGTCAAAGTGTGCGCCACCTCATCCTTTTGAATTATCACATCTTTCTTCAGAATTTTCAAAGCATACAAATGTCCACTTCCTTTCTCACGGCACAGAATCACCTTTCCAAACGTGCCCTTGCCAAGCACTTTCAAGAATTCAAAGTTTTCTAGAGTCTGAAAAGTCATTATGTAATTTTCATCCTGTTAGGTAAATTGCTCGAAAACATACAACTTTCTTTCTCCCTGAGGATTTTGTGGTTGACGTGCCCGTCAAGGAGAATTTGGCACTGAGTTCATCAACGGCTGCATCACCAGAATTAGGCAAATCAATTGAACCTTCCGAGGCAGTTTCGTCTTCATAGATTTTATCAGCCACTTGCTGAATGGCTTGCACCCAATCTTTCCTGGGGACAAATAAACAACGATAATAACTAATTTGAAAATAATAATTGTTAGATCTAAAAACAGATAAAAGTTAAATGAACTAGGACAGCTAATCACAATAACTGTCAAAATATTTTCTTCTAATTATCTGCTAATCCGAGTCTCATCTTAGCCAAACAGAGATCATCCATATCTTAAAAAAATGAGGAATTGTTAATACCTGTCTTGCTCACTTTCTACGTGGAAAGTGCGCTCAATGACTGTGGTCATCTGCAAGCCTCGTATGATGAAGGTGAAGGGCTTCGGTCGGTCGACGGACATGATCTGGCAGTCCTTGACCGTGAAGTTGTTGAGCGGGTCGCCCAGGGATTGCAAGTTGTCTGGTTTGTTTTTGAATCCGACCAGCGAGCCATCTTCGAGCAGCAGGAAGTAACGGGCTCGCCAATTTTTAATATGCTCTCCTGCAAAAATAAAAAGAAGGAAATTATTAATAAAATAATTCAACTTCTTAAGTAGGTTGAAGAGGAAGGAAACAAACATACCTCTTTTGAAGAGCCAACCTTCTTTGACCACCTTCGCCAAAGGAGAGGTAGCGCTAGGCTGCGGTGGAGCCTCGCTCATGACCGAGTGTCCTGAAAGGCGTCAGTTCCTAAAATCAAACCTAATGAAAATGAGAAGAAGAAAATAGAAAGATTTGCAATGAAATTTAGTTAATTGGGCTGAAAATTGATATTTTAAAAGTCAGGAAGCTTTCAATAAAATGACCTTGTCTCCAATATTCTTTGATAGGTAAAACTAGAATTTTCTTATCAAAGATAACAGGAATTTTGTATGAAAATAGCACTCAAAATTATCAGTGTCTATTTGCCTGTTTTGTACATAATTTGAAGTGTTATAACAATAATAGGTTAAAAAGACTGTCGTAGAAAAATATATCAAATAATATAAAAACATTGGACCAAAAAAAAAATACATTTTTTTTATGTTTAAATGAAATTATTTTATTGAGAACAATTGTTCCTGTTACAATTTCAAAATATTAAATATATTTTATATTTCTTTTTTAATATGGCAAAAAACAGGCAAAACACATTTTTTTCATTTTGTTCAAACTTTGAATATAACATTATTTTATTTTTCTGGAGTTTTTACCGAACCAAGCAACGTGTTGTTATTATTTATTAATAAATTATATAATAGTTTTTTTACCTAGTCGATTTTTTTAATTTTCTAGTCACAAAAGGACATTTCTATAAATCAGCTACATATAAAATTTATTTCCGGACCGTGGACAGTTTTGCAAGGTAATTTAATTATTTCGAGTCGGGTGACGCGGGGCAGAGTGAAATCTGGACGGTGACAAGTATGGAGAGGAGCGACACTGACACAAGTCAGAAAAAGCTGCTGAGTGGGCATTAATCAAGTCGTCTCTCCGCTGGATTCATTAGTCTAATAGAAAAAGGGTGCCAAGAAATGCAGCGGCCGCTATTTTTGTTTTGTGGCCAAACCAAGCAATGCGCGTATCAAATTTACACGGAAGCTGCGACAAGGAAAGCCGCGACTCAATTGGAAAAAAGAGCAAAACTGCGCTTGATAACAAACTAGAGTTAAAAATAAAAAAATATGCTCTGGTTGACGAGAGCCGATGCGAAATAGCTGACGAAGGAAAATGACCTTCAAAACTTTTATCTTTTTCATCCGCGTGCACACGTTCACGGCCGACCAAATTCAAAAGCGCAGTTTGCTTATTTGTGTTGTTTAGAAAAAAGTAAATTAATTAATTAAATTAAATTTATAAAGTTAAAAAAATTATACGTAGAAATTACTCAACCAAGATTTTTCATCGTTTTTATTAAATAAGAAGTTTACAAAGATTTCTGTTATTGGAGAGGGAAAATCTATAAATAAATTCAAGTACTATTGTCCGATTGAAATGGTCTGCAGCCTTTTTGTTTACGTTCGCGAGAGACTGTCTCGGTTAAAAATAAATCACACATCACACCGTCGCGAAGAAGCCGGATGGAGCAAAATCAATCGCAACGATCTTTGCAAGAAGTTTAAACCATCAAAATTTAAATGACAAAGAAAATTAAAAAATAACTTGCCTAAAATGGGAATTATGTATTGGGAATAAAAATGGAAGGAAAATAACCAACAATAGACATCACATCATTCGATCATTGAGATAAAAATTCCGAAAAATTCTAAAAACATTTGGACCAAACACACAAAAACAAGCTTTAAAAGCTTTTTTATGTTATCTTGCAATGTCCGGGTAAATTTCCCTCAAAATTAATTATGCCAATGATTAGATCAACGGGAACTGGTGTTGAACCAGCTTCGATGGTAATTTTACCTAATTTAGCAAGGTTGCTCCAAGCACATGCCTGGCAAGCTAAAAGCCGCGGCGCAATTCGCCGTTTCCATGCCTGCCGTGGGCGTTCGTCCGAATTTCGTCCTCACCTCGGCACTTCCGGTCTGCCGAGTCGCGAAACTGTCCTTCCGGTGTCACAAGCGGCCGAAAAAAGCGGCGATTCGGCCGAAAATTGGCCTGGAAAACAAGCGCCGACGTAGATGATAGACTTCGGGTGCGTGTTTTTCGTTCAGTGTGATGTTGTGAGAGCGAATTTCCCAAAACGGCCACCGCACCACACCGGCGTACAGCGCTGCCGTCGCCCACCAGCACCAGCGGCAACACCAGCGGGACTCGAATGAGATTGGCGGCCTCTGGAGTCTGGAGGATAAAAATAATGCTTGCTGCTCGCGGATCATCTCTCATTATTCTCAACAAAGTTATGCGTGTGAAGTTGTCCATTTTCAATGTTTTCTAACCGTTAAGGACTTCGGCGACTACGTGAACAGTGAGTTATTTTGATTTTATTCAAATTTTATTGATCATTATTTATTGATATTCGCCTGATATGTATTCGCAGCAGCTTATAAAGCAGCTGCACTTTGCAGGAAACGAGATATTAAAAAAAAAATAAATGTGGAAAGTGTTAAAATATATTGAAAATTGTATTTAAAACGTCATAATATATAGACATTTTGATGGTTGGTTGTTTTAAAGATAAAACATTAAATGCGCTTATAATTTAATTTCTAACCTGAAACTATTTCTTTATTTCACTGGATATTAAGTTACTTATTACATTTATTGTTTAATTAAATTTAATAATTTAAAAGAACATTTTTATCCCACCATAGACCGCTTTCCCACATTTGTTGCATTCTTCGCTCGTTTCAAAACACCCAGATCGGTGAACGTGTCCGCAAGGCAGGTAGCAAATTAACTCTCCAGGTGCGTTTTCGATCAATTGACAGTTTGAGCACTCCACGTTCATTGATAGATTTTCATTCATTTCTGATTTTCGTATTAAGGAATATGTGCATTCGGGGCTTCTTTTTGCATGTTCCATTTCAATATCGTAAAGTATCTCGAGTTCTAACGTCGGGTCAAAAGATAGCCCACAATCGTAGCAGCTGACTTTGTTGCTGTTTTCTTGATAAAAGAATCCGCAATTTACAAGTGACTCTATTAATTCGGCAGGGATTTCGTTCTCATTATTTGATGTGAACGATGATTCACGCTTCATAGCAGATTTCATTGATGAAAATTTTGTTGGTGTTTGGTAAATCATTCCCATTTCACTGTCGTCGCCAAAAGATACCAAGAACTGAAAATTCGGTGGCGCTTTTGCAATCACTCGTGGTCCATCTGAAAAATATTTTTTTTTTTTTTTAAATTGAAAGTGCAGTCAAAAAGATTTTAAAAGCATTTTTATTTATTTTTTTTTAATTAAAAAATAAAAACAAAAGATTTTTAATATAAAATTAAAAAATAACTTTTTAAAACACGAATTTAAATAAGAAACTGAAATAATTTTGGATTATTATTCACAAGAGCAAATTAAAAATAGTTATGAAGATATTATTCATTTATCATTATTCTTTGTATATTTATGAATCTATCTATAATTGAATTAAATACTTATATTAAAATATTGCCTTTTACAATGAAATATTAATTGATAATTAAAAAAAATATGCGTGTACGTTACATTGTCGGGTAAATTCGGGCTGCACTGGGCGAGGAGGCGTCGGAGTATGACTTCGGCGGCCATGAGCGCAATCACAAGTCGAGTCTGAATTTAGGTTTTCTTCTCCAATCACCACATTACAGTAAGAGCCGTTTGACCTCAGGAAAGGGCAATCGGCGTTCCAGCGAATATGTTCTGATTTCGCAGAGTCATTTTGTTCCCAACTTGAAAGAATCAAGTTGCAAGAGAAACATTGCACTGAATCTCCAGGTCCAACGTAGTAAAATCCCCAGGCGGCCATATCACTTGGCTTGACGTAATTCCAATGCTCCATGTGTTTGATAAGTGAATACAGCCTGTATGTTTCGTATTTGTAAAAACTAAAAAAAAAAAAAAAAATACAATTAATATTATATAAAATTGAAAAAAAATTGATTAATCATAATTTTTAGTAATTTAAATTTCTTTCCCCAATTTGAAATAAATAATTTATTTATTTAAACATAATTACTTGCGGTTTCCAATGGAGCCTCGAGAAACTTCATGAGACACATTATCAGAGTTTGAGTACATAATTCGACAGTCAGGGCTCAATTTATGATGTCTGTCAAGGATCTCTGCAAAATTAAGACCTCGCCATTCTTTCACGTCACTGATGAGGTCACAAAAGTAGCAACAGATTTTTTCAGTGTTAGAATTCAGGTAGAATCCCGACTCGACTAAATCTTTGCTTTTGACTTCATTCTTTTCATCAAAATCGTATGGAAAAGTAAACATTCTGTGCAAGTTGATTGCTAGTTTGAATTTTTTCTTTACTTCATAAGCGTCGTTGTATTTTGTATGGTCTGGAGGAGAATTTGAGTCATCTTTAACGGCCGATCTCTTGAAAACATTCCTAGTTAAAAATAAGAACACTTTATAGAATGAGTTACTATAATTTGTAAGGAAATTTTAGACACTTACTGCCGATTTAATGCTGGAAATTTTAACTCCAAGGTTTGGTCAGGGCACAAAGATAACGTTTTCACACAGACTTTTGTCAGCAAAATATGCATTGGTGTATCTTTTTTCATATACTTTGCGGTGTCAACCACAGCTTTTACTAGCCAAGAAACACTGTAAAAACTTGCATGACTTTTAGCTGTAAAATAATTGTTTATGTTTAAATTATAATTGTATTTTAGACACACACACACACACACACACACACACACACACACACACACACACACACACACACACACACACACACACACACACAAAAATTGAAAAAGTTTGTGAAACAATTCCTTTTTTGTCTTACGTTCTATACATGTATTTATGTAACCAAAATTATTTCTGGCTGATTGATCAACTGATATTCTTTTCACAATATTTTTCTTGTTTTTCTCTGGCCTTACCACTCTTGTTGTCTAGAATTTTAAAATTTCAATAACGGTATAAATATCAAATAGCTGAACACCTACTTCCTGAAATAATATTATTAGTGTTGAATCGATGAAGCGATTACGCGAACACGCCTCGTAAACGTCTTCATTTCCTGATTTTTCATTAATGGATTTTTGTGATGAGCTAGACGATGGATCTCCCACTTTTCTTTCATGGTGTAACAAATTTTCGGTCCCATGAGATAATAAAAAGATAAAAAACATCTTTGGTTTGTTGCAATCTGCAATTATATCTTTTTAGTTGCAAACCTTGTATAATACTTCATAAATTGAATGGCAACACTTGAGGTGGATTTCATGAAAGATTGAAACCGAGCAAACCTCGTTGCATCGAAAAAATGAAAAAAATATTTTTTTCATTTCTGCTTTGTTGCAAAGAGGTTCACCCGGTTTTAATCTTTCATTATACTTTATGTTTATTATATCTTCAATGCTTATACCATCTTCAATGTTAAAATATTTCCTAAGATTTTCTTCGTTCTCAAGCAAAGCTATGAGGCGGAACTTTGTTTTGCTTGCAAATTGGAAAGTTCTAAAAATACAAGGTTCAACTATTTTTTGCAATATTTCAATATCGTTGGCATTTTCAATGTCTTGCTTTGCAGCGCCTTTATTTCTATAGTCCACTACCAGACACCAATCTTCCCTGAAATTTAAGTGTTCAATTCAGTTATGAAAAATATACCGCTACAGGCAAAATGTTTAGGATACAGGCAAATAATTGAAGTCACATTTTGCAAAAACAAAAAAAAAATGCTTGCATAATTGAGTAGTCAAGAAAGATCAAATTACATAATTGCACCAATATAATACATTAAACAAGCCCACAAAACTATGACTTTATTGTGTTAAATATTTCAATTTCAAAAAGTATTCAATTTTCTTTCATACAAAATAATATTATTTTTAATTGCAAGAAAAATTAATCGGTATTAAAAACTTATTATAAAATATTTATAAATTTAAATAGGCTGAACGAAATATTGAGTACAATAAAGAAAATTCAAAAAGTAGTGCAAGATATAATAATTATACTACTTACTTCTGCATGATTCCTAGCCGCTTCTGAAAATTGAAATTCATTTTAACAACATTAATTATGATAATACTGTCCCATTTTTATTCTGCTTAATTAAACATTTTCACTAGCAAAATCGCAATAAAATAATAAATTTAAATTAAAAAAAAAACGGATTGCATAATTAAACTTTTACTTTTAGTCGCTAATATGTAGAATTTTTATAAAAAATATTGCTCTTACCTTTTTTGTAATCTCTTCATTGCGTTGCGGTTTTTATTAATTTTAATGCAAGTGCTGCAACAGAAAAAAATGTTTTACTCACTGACGAGCAGAATAAAAAGTTTTTTTTTCAAAAATGATAAATTTGAAATAAAAATGGTTAAATGAGAAAACTATGCAAATTTTACCCTATCGCTTAATTGTGCTTATTCTGCAAGAAGAATAATTATACTTATATTATTTCTGGCAAAGCGGGAATTTATTATAGAGAGAACAAAATTCAATTATTAAAAGCGTGACTAAGATTATAATTTTAACGTTCTATAATAATTATAACCCTTGCATATTGAGGAGAGATGCAATTAACCAGTTGCAATAAACTGTATCTGAACTGAACTGGTTTGGTCTAGTTTCGACTGGTTATATCTAATATCCTTCGTAAGTTAGACTTTGTTGGATATTATTGTTGGTTCAATGTTCTCAATAAGTGCAATATGCATGAACTGCAGTACTTAGTTGCAAATTTTCTTTACTGATATGTTTATATTGTTTTTAATAATGAAAATATTTACAAGTTTATAAATATGAGTAAATTGCAGCTCAATGTTATTATATTCCAAATTAAAATTTTAACGGTGCTCTCCAAAGTGAAAAAAAATATAAATAGAAATCAGTCAATGTTTGTGCCAGACCAATTGGTAAGAGGTTCATGAGCATGTGCCATAAATTTTCATAAAAAAAAATAATTTCTTTATTACACGCTTACTATAGATTGATAACTATGCAAGCATATTTACTTAACTCAACTACCAGAAACTACCTGAAACGAGACTTAAAAAAAGTCTAACGGGTGTGGGAATCAAAACCTCTTTCTCCGGCCGTACGCCTCTTATATAATGATCATGGCAAGCGCGAAGCCACATAAGGAATGGAAAGGCGCTATTATAGTCAGCTAGGAGGCGCTAGCCCAGAAAGATTTCATAAGCATCAAAATATAACCACCTGCCTAAACTCCCCAAAACTTTCAAACTCCTTGTACATAATTTTTTTTTTAAAGTTAAAGCTGAGCGCAAAGCGGAATAATCTATTAATGGTATAGAATAATATTGCGCATAATTATCAATTTATCTCCATCTGTGCAAACCTCTTTTAAGGCCCCCGGCCCCAGCGTTTCATCAAACTTGATTGTTAGAGATTTCAAATTTTTCGATAATTTTTTTTATGATTATGTATGCACAGTCAACAATAAATATAAAAATCAAGCTCGTGGTATATTATATATTATATCAATATGTTTGAATTAAACATGCAATTAAATGTGACTTTGGCTGCTGTATACATCAATTAAATCACATTCCTTCCCTTTAAACATGAACCTACAAAATCGGGAGTAATTTATTTGACAATACATTTAGATATTTCCAATGATAAGCAGTTTTAGAATCCTGTAAAAATAACGTCTTAAATTTTCAAATAAGCCACAATACAAAAATAAATTATGTGCGTAATAAGTCTCATGAAAAGTCAATGTTGTATGTTGGGTATGTTGCAGATATACAAGTAAGTGGGTGTGGGTGTGTGATGCTCTGTAATCTCTGTATTGAAAATTAGTGTATAAAAAATAAAACTTTCTTACTTTCCTATTAAGGCTAAAATTATATTCCAGAACAGTGCAGCTTCATTATTAGACTTTCCTTTCACTACCTCAACTGAAAAGTCTAACGTCTAACGTGCGAGCTGCGAGGCACTGTATTAAAAAAGTCAAACCTTGATAAAAAAAAAACCTTGAGCCAGAAGATAAAAGTGGTGGGGTCTTTTATTACATACTAACAGTTTCGTCGTTGACTTAAGAACATACTTTTATTGGAGCATTTGGTCTGTACCAAGCTATCTGCATTGAATTGAAGTTCTCTTCATACAGCGCTTTTTGCACAATATTTAAAATACTTATTTTAAACAAACCAGATTCAAGAAAAATTAATGTTGTTTAGTCTAAAGCGCACTTTTAGGCCAAGTGCGTTTGGTCAACCAATGGCGTTTGATCAACATTATAAAAATTATTAAAACATGTAAGTTTTCTGAATAAACAATATTTTAATGGTATTGGGGGACATTCACTACAGATATTCTCCCCGGCTATAGCTAGCTATACGCTTATAACATGGTTATCCCGGGAGGATATCTGCAGTGAATGTCCCCCATTATTAATTATACTTAAAATCTCTTCACGAATAAATTTTTGTATCTAGAATAAACTTGGAATAAACAATTAGTTAAATAATAAAATAAACAAGAGCAGGCTTAAATTCAGCATTGAATAATATTTTACGTCTTAGTGTTCTTTTATCACAATCTTGTTTGCAGGCTTCACTTAAAATAAAAACTCTCAAAATTAATCTTTTAATAATGATAACACATGGTCACAAGCTCCATAAAACATTATTATCAATTATTTATCGGCGTTGACCCCTTTTTTAACCTCGCGCATTCAGACCAGAGGTGAGAAGTTTTCTCTTTCTTTTTTTAAATGTGATAATTATAACTAAATTATTGAATGAAAAATAAATAGTAATAATAAAATTATAATCTTAGCTTTAATTATTATTTTATTGCAAAACAAAATAAATATAATCACTGTGCGTCCAGCTACTTTTCCTACATTTTATAGCCAGGATTATTGCTCATGCAGCTGGACGCACAATAAATTAAATAATACTGTATATTGATAAATGTGATCAAATTCCGCGTAATGTCGTACAATCTGGATTGTATTTCGCGTGCTCGGCTTTGGGGTTATCCCCAGGAGTCCATTTGTGCAGGGCAATTCCGCAAAAATAACAAATGGTTTTGTCCTCTTGTCCGGCGTAGAAAAATCCGCAAGCTGCCATTCGCGATGCAGGGATTGACTCCTTCAGAGGCCACATGCTGGTAAAACTCTTTGCTCGATCTTCCAAAGATGCAAATTTTGGAAATTCCGCATCTTTCACTCCCCAGCCTCCTCCTCGAAGAAGTAAATCATTTAACGGTTCATCTCCTTGGATTCGGCCGCCGGTATAGCGATAATAGGTCTCCTTGTAAACGGGCACGTTTTTTGGCTCTTTTGGCGTTCCGTCAATAAAATCGCACTCATTTCCAGCGGCTGCTTTTACATGCTCTTCATGTGCATTGTCAGTCTCTTGCCAATTTCCAACTACAACTTCGCAAGACGTGCATTTGACACGGTCATTATTCGCGTCCGGGTCATACAAATAGAATCCGTCTCTAGCCAAGTCGTAAGGTGAAACTTTCCAAAGGCCAGGATTGTTGAATGTCGCTGCTAACAGAGAGCAGGCCCTCTCTGATTCAAAAACATTTACCCTGAAATACACTTTGTCAATTTTTTTTAACTTTAATTTATTTGTTTTCAATATCTACCTTTTTCGAGGAAAATTTTCTCCTCCAGGATCGCCACACTTGCAGTAGGTCGCTCTTCTCAAATGCCATTCAGAAATTTGCACTACATCCTTACCCTGGGCAAAAGTGAACATTTGATCGACGTCCAACACCAAAGGCTTGATATTAAAACAAAAGTGGCAACTCAGATTGAAATTTTCTCCAGATTTGGTGAGATAAAAGCCGTTGGAAGCCAGATTTTCCAGCGTTTTCCCCCATTTTTCATAATGCTCTTTAGGGTAGGTCAGACAGCGGTGACTCTCGTTCTTTGTGTTTAAACGACCGTACTGACCAGGGTTGTATGGTTTCTCACGAGTTATCTTAAAAAACAATAAAAGTGATCATTTTATGTTTTAATATTGTTGGTGGAATCCTTGCAAAGTGCTTACCAGTTGCGGCATAATAAATTGCGGTTGAAATCACGCGGTTTACTCCCTACAATATAATACAAAATTACATTTTCGTTAAAGATTATTTTCAGCTTTCATTTTTGATTTGTTGAAAATCTTGTTTTTTTTTCATGCTATTGAAAAATCAAATGAAAAATTATGAAACTCTACGTGGTTTATATTCTTGCAGTCTAACTAGATTTTTTTTAAATAGTAAATACTCACTATTGGTTTTGAATCATTGGAAATGTCTAGGTTTTTGGGCGATTTGTTAAGTCCACTCTCAAAATTGGCACCTTTGATTTGTTGATCCAATTAGCGTTTAATTATTTTATATCTATCTGCGATAAGCTGTTCATTATCACAACAACTGAAAACTGAACGCGCGTGTTGTAGATAAACACACTTCACTTCAGAGCTTGCAAAATGGACACATTAATTAAAACAGTAAAAACTGTAAAAAGCGAAAGAAAGTAAACCTATGTACAGTTTAATTTTATTACTTACTTATTTTATTAAAAATCAACAACTGCTGTGTACTCTTTTTACTTTGATTCAATGATTAGCGAATGTTTGAAAATCTAATTACAAAATGTTTATCCCAAAAGAATTTTTTTTATTTTTTTTTTCATTCATATGAAATCAAAAATCAAACAAATTCACTATTTTTAGTTCGTGCAGACTATACATACAAATTTTGAAAATTCTTTGACACATCCTTGTTAAATTACACGCCATTATATAATTTTAAAAGAAATCATAAAATAAAATTGATTGTTTTTACCTTATAAAATAATTAAGATTGTCAAGTTTCTCAATGACAGGACTTCAAATTTCTTGAATTTTCATTGATTTTATCCAAAACCCTCATTATGCTTCATTGCTATAAGTACTCCATTTAACTTTAAGAATATACATTATTAAAGAATAATAGACAAAAGTTATCATCATAATAAACCTATTCAAAATTTGATGTTTTATTGATTTTTATTTACAAAATATGAACATATGCATTTTAAAATACCACCTAATAGTATATTGCTGCAGAAACTGGGTGTGTCGGAGCACTTAGGTAAAGCACAAGGTGTCTCTCTCGTACAGGAATATCGCGCGCATTATGATATGTATGTTTATTTGCTGATAAGCCGAAGCTCGTCACTATCAGGCCCCGACCGTGTTTAAACATTGTCATGGGTGGCTCGTAAAATTCTGCACCTTTGAACGAAGCTTTCCGAGCAAATCTTTCCTTGTGGTGATGTTTTGGTCGGTGTAAAAAAAATGGACCAACGACGGTCTCGAGAGGTGGCGACGTCGCTGCAGAAGTGGCACCTGCGAGACGGGCAGAGGAAAATCGCCAACAGGAGCAGCAGGGCGGGGTCGCCACCCAGTTGGGGCAGCTTTCGCGGTCGGACTGGCAGACACCGTAATATTAGTGATAGTGAAAACAAACATAATAATCCACCGTGGCCAATATTTTGCGGGATATTTATTATACAGGTAATATAACTCAAATTGTCCTGTTAATAATAGTGAGACTAAATTTATAAAATTAATAAAGAAATAAATATTCACCTCACTAATAATTACTAACTTTAAAAAAAAATTGTATTTTTATTCCACTGTTTCTTAGTTTTTCATTCCCGGAGTGTTGACCTCCCACGGAGTCTACTTGAGTCATCTTTTGAACCAAGAAAAGTATGAAAATCCATTTGCAGTGGTTTGGCCGCCAGCGATATTTTTGCTCACTTGGTGCGCGACAAGTATAAAAATTTAAAATTTGATTCAGGTGAAAATTTAATCCAAAATCTAGGGCCAATTTTCCGATATTTGGGAGAGAGAAAGAAAGGCGCCGACAGCAAAATCCTGGCTGCTTGTGGCACTTTGATTTTGGCTATTGGACTAGCCGCAAGCTCAGTTGCACCCAACACTGAACTCAGGATGCTAACTTTTGGTTTTATCGGAGGTAAATGCGAAATTAATTTCAATAAATTTACCAATTAAATAATTCCTAATTTAAGTAAACACAAATTCAAAATATCAATAAATTTTCATCCACTTTTAAAGAAAAGACATTTTCAACAAATTTTTCTTTTCAAATAAATATACTTTATTAAAAAAAAAACAAAGGGAAATACACTGAATTCATCATATCATTCATATTTTTTGTAGGAATTGGGTGTAGTTTGGTGGTGACTCAGTGCGAAACGCAGTCTCATCTCCATTTTCGTCCGTCGGTCAGCCTGTGTTTCAGCAGCGTTTCGCAATCTTTGGGCCATTTCGCCGCGCCTCTGATAATGATGGCTCTCGTCTCTAAGTATGGAAAAGTCGGAGCGCCCTTGAATCAAGCGGCTGTCGCGCTCCACGGTCTGATCGGCGCTCTTTTGTTGCGGAAAAGAAGCGTAAAATCACAGTGGAAACCTCCGCCGTAATATGATTAAATAATTTTTGTTTGACTTTAAATTTACATTTAATTCAAGTATGACGGAGAATGGTGAAGAGGAGGAAGTAATTTATAGCCGGGTGCCCACCAGCCCAAAATTGGTTATGCGAAGTTGGAAAAATCCAGCGTCCGATCCACTGGACAACACAGAGTCGGGAGACGTGTTTCTCGAAACTGAGGATTTTGAGGAGGAGGATATTAATTTTGATGTTCTCAACGACGGCAGACCCAGAAATCACATGGGAGTGGAGATCCTGCCTCAGATTTTGGAAGAGGACGAGGAGGAAGATGTCATTCTCGATGTGACTCAAAAAAGATTTTCGAAAGTGAAAAATATTCTAAATATTTGGGCAAGTGTTAATAAGCTCGTTTTAGTTCCGCATGAGTTTGAACAGGGACAGTTGGCTTCCCATGCCTCCTTTGGAACATTATTCGTCCGAACAACAGGATTCAACAGTTGGCGGAAATTCGCCAATGCTGCTCCTCACTCCGTCTTCAATACCAGAAGCTAGAGTCAAAACTTTTACTTTTGAAAGACCATCGTGCTGTTCAAAATTTGCTGAAGAATTTTGGATTGCGTGGAAAAAGATCTTGCATGTATGTGAACTTAACATAGTTGTTTTGGCAATTACCTGCAACTTGCTCGACAGAAACTTAAAACAAAAAAGCTGAACAAAAATATATTTTAAATTTAAACCAAGCTACAAGCACGCACTAAAATTTTAATCATTATTTAAAAATAAATTTATTGGTTACAACGCGTATACAGATATTGTTTTATCTTTTTAAGGGACAATTAAAATTTAGTTGAGCGTTCCCTACTGAACGTAGGAGCTTAAATTATTCAATTTTAAATAGCTTATTATGACCAAGCATATTTATTATTTTTATTATTCACATATCTCTGCTATGAGCGGTTGCAGGTTAATATTTAAACGATTTAAACCATCGATCACTTTTACCATTACCACCTTCCTTAAATTTCTAATAATATGATTTCTGCAGTTTTGTAAGTCCATATCGTACATCGCCCTCGTCCCCACTGTGCTAATCAACCTGGCGCAAAAACTTGCCCAGCTTGGCGTTTTGGCCGTTCTGCCCGCGGTCGCCAATGACGTGGTGCGGTACCGCAGACACGAAGGCGCATTCTCGATGGCCATCGTTGGCTTCGGCTGGTTGTGCACCACGATTTGCACGCCTTGCTTTTTGCTCCCCTCGGCAAAAAGGCAGAGCGGGATTATTTTCTCCATCCTCTACTTCATCTCCAGTTTAGGATTTGCCCGTAAATACTTTTTAATTTTTTTTTTCCAAACTATATTTTTGTTTTCAGTTCTCTCAGATCCAAGATCTCACGATCGCCTTACTTTGGGGTGCGTAATTATAGGAATGTCTCATGGCGCGCTATTGAGCACAATCCCTAGCATTCACCACACACTATGGGGTAGTGCCAGCGTCAAAAGTTCCGTGCAAAATTTTGTGGATATTTTAACAGCAGCTCTCATCACCCCTTGCGTGGCTGCTACTTTTTGTAAGATATTTTTTCCTAATTCATAATTAATGTGATAGATCAAAAAACACAATTTGCAACTAATTAATTAAACTATCTAAGAATTTGAAAAAAATCTTTATTGGAGATTATGATAGATCTGTGTGTAACAATTGACATTGAAAATTATTTTTACATACAAAATGTAGGAGTTATAATTGTTTAAATTTTGGAAACTAATAACTCTGAAAATATTTTCCAGAAAGTAAATCAATCTTTTAAAAACACATAAAAAAAGTAAATAGATCTTTCGGGATGTTCAACATACTTTATAATGTAATCATAAGTATGATTTAAATATTACAAGAATATTTTTTTTCAATTTCAGTATGTGTGGACTCTATTCAAGACTTCAAAAATGTGTTTTTGTGTTTGTGTTTTTTGCAAGCTTCGATGGGAGCAGGAACTCTTTTGTGGACATTAATGCGGAGGATTTTTCACAAATACCAATCCTGGGAGTTGCAAAGGCAAAGTTTTATATTGTGATAAATTATAAACACAAACTTTTTATTGTAATAAAATGCAAAACAAAATTTTCAAAACAAAAACATTCCAATTCTTATTCAAGAGGTTCTTCCGTAATCGCCACCGAAGGCTTGACACCTCCGACCAGCGCTCCAAATGTACCCAAAATCCCAGCAAATGGATTTGCATTTCCCCCTCCACCGAGAGCCTTCAAGTGCGGCGAAAGTAAATCGCCCGCGTTCGAAATCAGGGCAGAAATGTCCACATTGTTCTTCGAAGCGGGGTTAAGAATTTCATCGGCGGACACCGTGTTATTATTGTTATTGCTGCCCTTTTTCTGCTCCGAACTTGGCGGTGACTTTGAAGCCGCGCCACCTCCGAGCAGACTGCCGAACATGTCCGAAATGCCCATGTTGGACAACATATTTCCGGCGCCGCTGACCAACGAGCCGATGCCGCTCGGCATGACCCCAGAAAGGGCCCCAGCCGCCCCACTCACCAAAGAGGAGATTCCCCCTCCGCTCGAAAGCGCCCCTGCTGCGCCGCTGACCAACGAGCCAACGTCCACGTTGCCCAAAACAGAGCCTGCCATGTCGGAAACTTTAGACATCATTTTCCCGCCGTTGGAAGCGAGAAAGTCTGACGCTGCGGGGATGAGATTCAGACCTGGGATGTCTTTAAACGGATTCGCAGCGTCGGAAATTTCCTTTTCCTCCTTGGCTAGAAACGCGTCAATGTCGAAAGGGGTGGTGCTGATAACCCTTTTGGTATTTGTAGTTGAAGCAACTGCAATGGTAGTCGATACTGGCTGTTGCGTCAAGAAAGGGTTAAATGGCTTAAAAGTTGGATACGACTTTGTGGTTGTAGTTGGTTTTTGTGAAGTTGATGTAGTGAAAATTGTTATTTTACTGCTGCTCACGGCAAGAGTTGGCTCTGATACAGAAGATGCCGCAGTAACATTGTCTAAAATTATTTTTATTTTTTAAATTTATTGTCCCTAAATTTTACTTACAATTAGTGACATTATTTTCCACTCCGTCAGAGCTAATTGATGTCAAAGTAGTATTAGTTGTAAGTACCGTTGGCGCCTTTGATTTCAAGTTGGGCAGAGTTGGAATTGCAATTTTCGCCTTCTGAGTTGTGACTGGAATCGTAAACTTTGGTAAAGTCGGCAGCGGCTTTATTTGGCGTCGGACTCGGCTGTGCTCAAAATTCATGGATTGGGCGCCCTGTTGTTTAAAAATATGATTATTTCTATGTGCTAAAAACTTTCTGTTAAAGGACCAACGCATATCATAAGTAGTGTCATTAAAAGAAGTCGAGGCGAGATGTCCATTTCATTTGTATTGCTCACATATCCACCTGAAAAGGAAATAAAATATGTGGTGGCATATAAACATTTTGATTTGCTCCGGATATTTGATTGGAAGGAAATTGAAGCTCTTTAGAACGTGAATTTTATATTTATTGGAAATATAAATTACTTTTGTTAAATTTGCGCACTCAGCCCTCTTAAAAGCGGATTGTAGAAGTTTTTTTTTCACTAATTTTCACATATTATATTTTTTCCATATTTTTCTGTAACGTTGCGTAATTTAAAATGATTAATAACAAATTTTTATTTCTGTTTGTTTTCAGCAGTAATTTTTTATTATGGCAATTACAAACCACTCTTAAATACCTCATGTATTTTCATTACAGTGGAATTCACACAATAACGGTGGATTTCAATAAGCAAATTTGTCTTTTCAACATTTTCAATTTTAATGCCGGTGAAGTCTCTGCGTCTCTATAAATAAATTAATCAGTAGTAGGTTCTTTGTAGCGCGGGTGGGTGTCGTGCCGGTCGATGCAGTGCTGCTTGAGTTGGCGCTTCGTCCTGAAACCGGAGGTGCAGAACTCGCAGGGGTAGGGCATGACGCCGTGTTTGCCCATTTTGTGCGTCCGCAACTGACTGGCCTGCACGAACTTCCAGTCACACATGTCACACGCGTGCGGTTTTTCGCCGGTGTGTGTCCGGGTGTGTCTGGCCAGACAGTCGGGCGTGTCGAAACGTTTGTGGCACATTACGCAGCCGTACGGACGAACGTGGACCATGTGCACTTGGGCGCGGTGCCGCGACAGGTTGCCGTGGGTGCTCAGTTGCTTGCCGCACAGGTGACATTGGAACCGGATTTCCAGGTGAGAGTGCCTTATGTGACTGGTCAGAAACATCTGGAAAAAAAATAAAAAATTTAATTCATCAATATTGTCTAATAAAAAGTTCAAAAAATAATTTTAAATAAAATTCAAAGTTTAATATAAATTAATGTAAATGATTTTTTTTTAAGAATCATATTTTCTTATTTCCTGTACAAATTCTTCCTAATTATTTTATTTTTTAATTAATATAATATGCCAAACTTTATTTTTGTTAGCAGCATTCATTAACTCAAGATTTTAATTTATATTACGAACTTTCTGAACTGAACAGCTCTGGGTATTATTCATAAATTCTTACAAGAGTTACAAGCTTGGAAAATATGATCTGATTATTAATCGATTGTGCAATTTGTCTTTTGTTTATAATTTGAGAATGTTTCTCTAAAAAAAACATTGCTTTGATTGCAACGTGAGTTTTCTAATGTAATGAATTTGTTGCTGAGAATGCTGTGAAACTGATTTAAAATTAAATAATAATTGCAACCATTTAAATCATTGCTAGCAAAAATCACTTCTTATCTTACCTTCAGACTGAATTTTCTTCCGCAAAACGCACATTCAAACGTGGGAGGTTTGTGCCTCTGGAGGTGGTCGTTATAAGAGCGGGCCAGCATGTACGTCCTACCACACTCGTGACACAAGTAAGGGGGCTGTCCGTGGTGATACCTCCGAGACCTGAAATCCAAAAGAAATGTCAGATTTATTATTATCAATAAAATTTTATGCCCTTTTGTTAATTACTTTCAATTTCCGGGGTGAACGGTCAATTCATGAGAAATGCTAATGGTGAGTTTTGGAAGGAAAAAATTAATAAAAAAAAATTGAAACATACATTTTGCTCACTAATTAAAAAATAGTTTAATTGGTTTTCTCAAATTTGAACAATATGAATAAAAATGTAAGGAAAATTAAGCAGGTAGAACTTGCTTGACTTTTTAAACCCTTTTAAGGAGCACTTTTGATTCTTAAGATCAATTCTATCAAAAAAAAAAAAATTAATTGAAATTTTGATAAATTTATCCTATAAATAATTTATTTTGAGGCATACACCAATAAAAAATATGTAATAAAAAAATATAAATTATTATATCATAGGTTACTTTTAACAGAGTGTGTACTTATATTATTTTTTAATTAAAATAGGAAAATATCTTTGAATAAAATTCCAAAAATTTAAGTAGATTTGAGGTTTTCATTTGAATGCGTTTTTATTACTTCATAAATTAACTTCAGTCGCAGATCTCTCCGGTAATGGCAAGTTGATGAATAGTTTAATATTTTTAATTCTCATTGGTCGTTGCTTTTGGTGATGTGCACGTTGAGTTTGTGGTTGCTGAGGCCCCACTTGTTGGAGAAGCCCTGGTCGCACACATCGCATCGGTGGGGCAGCCACTTGTGGACACCCATCTTGTGGCGCCGGACGGTGGAGGTGTCGGCGAAGCAGGCGCCGCACAGGTCACACGCGAACGGCTTCTCGCCGGTGTGCGTGTGCATGTGCCGGTCCAGGTGGAAGCGGTGCTGGAAGCTGCGTCTGCAGACGGCGCAATTGAACGGGGCCGGCGCGGCCACGCCCATGTGGATGCGCTGGACGTGGCGCTCGAGGAGGCGCGCGTCAAAGAACTGGCGGCCGCAGTGCTGGCAGTAAAGCGGCGCCAGGTCAAAGTGGTGCCGCCGGATCATGTGGTCGCGCAAGTTCTGCTTCTCAAAGAAGCTCGAGCCGCAGATGTCACACGTGAAGTTGCACAGCTCAGGGAAGTGGCGCACCCAGTGCGAACGCAGCTTGTACGTGTCGCGACAAACCTTGCCGCACACCTCGCAGCACACGCGCCGCGTCTCGCGCCGTTTCACCCTCGGGCTGCTGCGAACAGAAAAAAGAATCGCCGGAGCGCTGCGTTAGTCTCGCTCTCTCAACCTCTCGCCGCTGCGTGCACTCTTTAAGTTTGGCGCTTAATTAAATCTCGCGTGAATTATAAATTTTCTCAAAAAAAAAAGGGGGAATTAGAAATATCTAATTGCTTAGAACTTTTTCGGTAAAAGATTAGTTAATTCTCCCCATTTCCGTTTTTTAAATGTCGTTGCATTTTTTTATGTAATTCTCATTGTCAGTAAAACTCTCTCTGTAACCGTGGCATGGCTATGGCGTGGCCATGGCATGGCTATGTCGTGGCCATGGCATGGCTATGGCGTGGCCCTGTAACTGATCAAATTTGCAGTATTGATGAATTTATGGATTATATTTTCCATGAGAATGCCCGGTGATGCATTAATAAAGATTTATGCAAAAGGCTTGACGTTTATGACCAGCGGGTTGCCAATCTCTATTTCTGCAGGCGGTTTAAGGAACTTTTCCTGTGCATCTTTAGTTCAGGATATTCATATTCAGTCATAAATCTATTGCAATTATCGGTAAACACTAAAATTTTTCTTTTTCTGAATCATCTGATATCTGAAATTTTTCTATCCACATTTTCAACAAATAGTGTTAAAAATTAATTTTATTATTATTATTTGTTCTTCTCAGTCGATACAAAAATTTAAAATTGGAAAAAAAAGATAAATTTATATGATTCACAATTAGCAGATTAGGTCTGCTAAAATGCCCGATTTAAAAAAGAGACGGCCGCCGCGGTAAAATTTAATTATTGAAGTGACATAAATAAACAACAAATTATCGCAGCTGTAATTGTGAAGAATATGAAGTAAATTTTGTATGATTTTGTATAAATATAACAGAAAGCCAAATCTTAAAAAAAAAAAAAAAAATATGATGAGCAACTGTTCAATAATAATAACAATAATGAAAAATCAGATAATTTTTTATGAGATATCCAACAATAAAGAGGGCGGAGTTTTGTTTTTCTTGTACAATTGTAATGCAGGAAAAGAATTTTCAAAGAAGTTTACCTTTTTTTCTAAAATTTATAGCAGTTATGGTATTTTATTTTGTTTTTCTGAAATTTAATTCTTCCTTGCCCGAAAATATATTTCACATATTAATGCGTCATAGAGAAATGATCACTGTTATGAATTTATCAATTGAATTTTTAGACTTTCCAGCAGCTTTCAGATTTTTCGAGATATTTGTTGGGTTAGATTTTAAGAAAATAAATTTTTTATTTATTCACCAATTATATAAAAATACATTATCTTTTCACAATTTTACAGTTTAAATTTGTTTAAGGATTTAGGATTTCTGTTTAATTCGATTAAATTTTTACTTTAAAATTTTGGGATTGAAAAATATTAATTAATATTTTAATAGGTTGTGGACAAGTTGAAGAAATACTGGAAATTTAAAATTACCAAATAAGTCATTGAATAAAAGCATAAAAATTATTTTTCACATAATAGAAGAATCTCTATTCAGAAAGCAAATTTTCTATATTTCAATTTTTTTATGATTAAAACGCATAATTTTGTTCTTGTTAATCATGTAGCCTCTGGCTTGGTATATTAATTACTTTTTTCAATCATATTTGAACACATCAAATGTAAATGGCGTGCGCGACGACGCAGTGCTCGGCGAGCAGCTTCTTGGCTTTGAAGCCCTGCGGGCAGTGCTGGCAGGGGAAGGGCATCACTTTGTGGATGCTGATCTTGTGCTGGCGCAGGTTGAACACGTTGGCGAACTTCCACTCGCACAGTTCGCACGCGTACGGCCGCTCGCCGGTGTGGGTGCGCGTGTGTCGGTCGTAGTGGTCCTTCTTGTGGAAACTCTTTTTGCACACGATGCACTCGAAGGTCGCCTTCACCGAGCCCAGGTGGACCACGTTGATGTGCGCCTGTAGCGTCGAGTGCAGCTTGAACGCCTTGACGCAGTATTCGCACTGGTACTCGCGCAGCCCTAGATGCGAGTTCATGTGTTTGCGAAGCGTGTCCTTAAAGTGGAACGCCCTTTTGCACAGGTCACACACGTACCGCCGCGCAAAGTGGATCTCCCTGTGGCTGGCCAGCGACTTGCTGCTCTTCAGATGCTTCCCGCACAACTCGCACATGTACGACCGGTCCCTCCACTCCAATTTCGATTTTTTCTCCTCTGAGTAGAAAATTTCCTCCTCGTCTTGAACGTCTGCTCTGAGCAAGCATTCGGGTTCAGCCGGTTTCCGGCCGCGTTTCTTTGGTTGCGGATTTTTCTCTTGGTGCAATTCGTCTTCCCCTCCGGTTTGTGGAACTTTGCGTGGGCGGCCGCGTTTTCGGCGGGCAGGAACGTTTTCCGTCAGTCGGAGGCGCATCTTGAGCGGAGGCGGCGGCGCGTAGTCGGCGTCTTTCGAGTCGTCGTCCGACTCGGGCGCGGCCTCTGTCCACAGCTCCCATCTGGCAACAAAAGAACGCGCGTCAGTTCAGGCAGCGCTACACCCACGGGCAGCCAAGCAAGCGTTGTGTGCTGGCGTTATTTTTGGCAGAAGTGGACTGGGACCAAACACAACAATTTGTTTTTTATTATTTTTGAAAAGTGAAAATGTTTGCTTTGATAAATTGTAAATGAATAAAGAAAGGAACTTTTTTGTTATATTTGTTAATTTTTTTAAATTTATTTGGTATTTTATGTTTTTTTAAATTAATCAAATTATTTGATGAAAAACAATGAAAAACTTCATTATTAATTTTTGAAAAGAGTTGTACTCAATCAGGAACTGGTTTTTGATAAAAACAAAATGTATTTTTGGTAATTTCTTTATCAATCTCTTTTAAAAAAAAAATATATTTTACTGTAGTTCAATTTAAGAAATTCTTTTGCAGTTTTTAAGAAATTAATATAGTATATGAATTAAAGGATTTCTAAATTTATTACACAATTATTACGTTCATAATGAATTTATCGGTATTTATTTTTATTTTGTGAATACTTTCAAAAAAATAAATTTAAATTAATTTTAATTTATAGACATTAATTTATATTTTGCTATTAAAGCAACCATAAATTGTGCCAAGGAAAATAAAATTTAATTCTTTTGATCTAAATTTGGATTCTGTTTCCTGCTGTTAAAGGTTTTGGGCGTTAAAGCAAAATTCGCTAACTTTTAGTGAAATTTAAGTATTTATTACAGTCAGACATAATTTGAATTGCCATAGCTGAATTTTTAACTTATATTTTAATTGGTATGGGTACTGAATATTACAACGGAATTTTATAATTTTATGCTGTTACCGTTCATAATTACCTTTCTGATAAAAAAAATTTGAACTATTATTTGGCACAAAATCAAGTTTTTCTTCTCTATGTTTGAACTTGCAAGATGCAAAATAGAAATATTTAAACAAATATTTGGCCAGTCTTATTTATAATAAATGCAGATTTACAATCTAATATCGACATAATCAGGAATGTCTGGGCATTTTGGAATTCTAATTATCCTCAGGCGTTTCTGCTTCATCGCCGGCGTTACTTTCGGGCACTTCACCAGCACCGCGCGTCGTCAGGTGCGCGTCGACCCGGTGCCGCTGCATTTCGTTCTTCAACTTGAACGTCAGGTCGCACATGTCGCACTTGTAGGGCAGCACCTTGTGCACCAAGCGTTGGTGGGTCCTCAGGGTGTAGCGCTGGGCGAAGGTGGTTCCGCACAGGGTGCACTCGTAGGGTCGCAGGCCCTGGTGAAGGCCGATGTGCCTGCGCAGGCTGGTGCCGGTGGCGAAGGTTTTGCCGCAGTAGGTGCACAGGTGGCTCGGCTTGTGCTCGCTGTGCATGCGGACGCGGTGGTCGTGCAGCAGGGCCTTGTGCGCGAACGAGCGGCCGCACTCCTCGCAGGTCACGTTCTTCTCGCCGGTGTGCGTCAGCAGGTGGTTCTTCAGGACGGCCCTGCTGTAGGTGCTCCAGCCGCACAGGTGGCACTTTTCGGTCCGCGCCTCCGCGAAGTGGATCTTGCGGTGCTGGGTGAGGTAGTTGCGGAAGGCGAAGCACTTGCCGCAGATCTCGCAGGTGAACGCGTCCTCGGGAGGGTCGTGCAGCTTTTCGTGCTGCTTCAGGGCGTAGTCCGAGATGTACGCGTTGCCGCAGGTGAGGCACGCGAAGGGTCGCTCGCCCGTGTGCTTGCGTTCGTGGTACTCGAGCTTGTCGGTGCTGTTGAAGACGGCCAGGCAGAAGCGGCACTGCCGCACCTGCGCCTTCTCAGGGTGCGACACCTTGACGTGCTGCCGCAGACTGCGCAGCCGCTTGAACGCCTTCGGACACTCCTGGCACCGGTGGCCGAACACCAGCGCCTGCAGGTGCGTCCGCCAGTGCCGCCGCATGTGTCCGCGGCACCACAGCCGCTTTCCGCACTGCCCGCACTCGAGTTTGTGGAAGTCCGGGTGGTCGCACAGCATGTGGCGCGCCAGGCAACCCGCGTTGGCGTGCCTCGCTCGGCACACGTCGCACCGCACCGGCCTCTCGTCGCGCTTCCTTTTCTCCCTGAAATCACGTCAGCGCCTCAGTTCCTCGTCCTTTTTCATGTTTTCCGATATACATTTAATTTTAAAATACTTCTCATTGTGTGTAAAATTTTCAATTCAATTTAAAAAATGTTAAAATTTCTAAAATGTTAGTTTTTTTTGCTTTTATCAAAAATGAAAAATTTCACATTTTTATGGTGAATTTGCTGCAATAGTTAAATGCCAACAGTTAATTAATTTAAAACTAGAAAAAAAATTATGACTCAGTAATTTAGTTGGTAAGAAAGTAGCTTAACAAATGGTTTTAAAGTATTTTCTCTTAACCTTTATTTCTATTGGATGTAAAAATATTTATCTGTTTAAATCTATTTTAATTGCTTTATTTTATAAAATAATTCAAGTTAGGAGAAATAGATAAGATGTTGCAATGAGTAATCAATCATGCATCATGCGCCTTCTAAATTACAGGTGAAAAACCGGCCTGTTGAGCATTTCCTTATCCATGCATGATTCGTTTCATTTGAAATTAGTGACTTACAATTAGGATTTTTTTAATCATAAATAGTGGCCTTACAAAAAGAACATGATGAAAACTTTGAAAACGCCAATTTTTGCTCATTATATTAGTTGACACTTAATTGAAGATATTGTTCAAATTGTAGGCTATTTAAATGTGCTGCTTTTTATTGTAACCAAAGAGCTGTCCGTTTTTCTCTTTAGATTTCCATTAGATTCTTAATTTTTTAATGTAAACAAAAAATTGTATAAAATAATATTTATCGATAATATTTTATGGTTTACCTTTTAGAAATGTTTACATTAAATTTAAAATTAAAAAAAAATATTTTTTGCTTTTTTATATTTAATTTTTATATTTAATATATTTGTAATAAAAAAATTACAACTTCAATTCTTTGTGCTTTAATGCAAATTAAGAAGGAGCTTGAAAAAAATAAGTTTCTGATTTTCCTTGCAGTTAAATAGCGCCTTTGTGTTTATTGAATTTCAATTATGACTTCTCATTTCTAACAAGTACTAAATTGTATTAAATGCACTTGTTTTAATTAAAAACGTTTTAAAATTAACAATGTGTCAGTCTGCAGACGCTTCGTCGCTCTGTTTGAAGTGCGCCTCGATGCTGTGCTGCTTCAACTCGTTTTTCAGTTTAAACGCGTCGCCGCACATGGTGCACTTGTAGTGCAGCAGTTTGTGCTTGACCCACTGATGGTTGATAAGGGTGCTCTTCTGGGCGAAGTTCTGCGAGCAGATGTCGCACTCGAAGGCCCTCAGGCCCTGGTGCATCATGACGTGTCTGCGAAGGTTGAAGGCCGAGCTGCACTCGAGGCCGCAGATGTCGCACTTCTGCGGCTGCTTGTCCGCGTTGTGCTTCATGGCGCGGTGGTGCCGCAGACTGGCCTTGTGGATGAACGACTTGCCGCACTCCTCGCAGGTCACCGACCTCTCGCCCGTGTGCGTCAACATGTGGTTCTTGAGGTGCGCCTTGCTGTAGGTGCTCCAGCCGCACAAGTGGCACTTCTCGGTGCGCGCCTCGGCGAAGTGGATTTTGCGGTGACTCATCAGGTTGGTGCTGCTCGGGAAACTCTTGCCGCACACCTCGCACGTGAACGCCCTGACGCGCTCCTCGTGGATCTTCTGGTGCTCCTTCAGGGTCTTGTCGGAGATGAAAGCATTTCCGCAAATCGAGCAGATGAAAGGGCGTTCGCCGGTGTGTTTTCGGACGTGCACGTTCAGGTTGAACTTGCTTTTGTACGAGCGGCCGCAAATCTCGCAGTGCACCAGGGTCGTTTCCTTCGGAATGCCGTGGTCCTTCCGCAGGTGTTTGCGCAGCGAGTAGCGTTTCGGAAGCTCCAGGCCGCACAGGTGGCACGTGAAGAAAATGCGGAGGTGCTCGGACACGTGGCGCCGCAGCAGGTACTTGAGCCAGAACGTCTCTCGGCAGGAGGCGCATTCGAACGGCTGCACTTCAGGGTGGTGTCGCTTCATGTGCAGGTCGAGGTTGGTGTGATAGGCTCGGCACAAGTGGCACTTCATGCGGTGGCGCCTCCTCCTGAAAACACGCGTTCCTGCTCAGATCTTCTTTTTCAAAAATTCTTTTGACTCGTTTTTTTTTTTTTTAAACTTACAGAGTTTAAAAATATAATGAAGTTTATTCATCACTTTCATCAGCCTTTGCGTGAATCGGAATGAAAAAAAAAAAATGAAGTTCGAGACTTTTTTTGCTTAAAATTTTGAACTAATTGAATTTGATCAAGGTGAAGTGATTGAATCAAATGATAACTTATGGTATTAAAAATTAATTAGTTTTCAAGAGCTTATTCTCATCAAAATTCAATGATTTTCTTTTTTCCCTTACAATAAGTCATGGTTGCTCTGTGTGAATATTATAAACATTTTTCGGTTTTATTTTTGTTTAATTTTAAATTATGAAATAAAATTTGGAGCACTGGAGTTGTACTTTCATTTTTTATTCATCTTTCTGTCGGTTACATTATTATTTGTGCATCGTTTCTGTTCTACAGCTAAGCTTTTAATAACTAAATGGTTTTGTATTTTGTTTCCATAAATCATAGTTTTTGAGGAACACAGTCTTGGAAAATAAAATATCAGAAATTGTAAAATTAATCTAAAATCAGAGCCGAGTTTATCTTTGTTTGTTTAGGATTAAAGATTAAAAGAAACCTTCATTGGCAGGAAAATTGTTATAAAAAAAATACTCCTTACAATTAATTTTAGTTTTAACATTTCATTACAGTGCAACATTTCCTCTCAAAAACAGAGGAAATAAGTAAGCTAAATATAAGTTTTAAAGATAACTCGTCAGTAGCCACTTTAAAAAATTATACACTAATCTGTAGAAGAATATTTTTTGTAAAGAAAGACCATCTGCAAAAGCTACAAAAGTTGGCAAAATTGAGTTTACTGGGGTATTTTTCAATTAATAATAATATGAATAATATTGAATATTGTGGTGGTTATCAAAATTAATAAAATCCAAAATCAAACTTATGATAAATTTGAAAAGATTGCTTTTGATTATTTTTAATACCATCTGTGGATTTTAAAGTGCAGTTGTTGGTATCATAATTTATTTTGCGTTGTTCACATTTTTGAAGTAAAAAAATCGATAAAATTTTTTTACAATTAATTTTGTTTTTGAAAGTGGAGACTGAAATTTTCATATTAAATGTGTTCCATCATAAGAAAAAGCGTAAAAAAATACAAGCTTTTGATTTAAAAAAAAATGGCACTAAAAAAAGTTTAATGCAAATTGGCATTTCCTCGATATAATTCTGATTGTAAAGGAGCTCTGCTCCTCATCTACTAGTCAAATCTCATTGCATTATTCTACTTGCTGAAACAATTCAAAACTGCGGAGGTTTTTGGTCGTTGAGTTCGGGCAGGTTGGGGTCGGTGCGGTAGTGCTCCTCGATGGAGTGGTTCTTGAGCAGGCGGAGGTGCGTGAAGCCCTTGTCGCAGGCGTCGCACTTGTAGGGCATCACCTTGTGCTTCTCCCACTTGTGCCTGAGCAGGTAGTTGATCTGCGAGTAGGCCGCGTCGCACAGGTCGCACTCGTAGTTGAGCAGGCCCTGGTGCCGCTTGACGTGGTTCTTGAGCGAGTGCTGCGTGGAAAAGGTCTTTTCGCACAGGTGGCACTTGAAGACCTGGCGGTCGGGCCGGTGCACCTCCCTGTGCTTCTGCAGGATGAACTTCTCGGTGAAGCGTTTTCCGCACTCGTCGCACACGTACGGCCGGTCGGTGGCGTGCGTGGCCATGTGCTTCTTCAGGTTGCCCTTGCTGTACGTGCTCCAGCCGCACACCTCGCACCTCTCGGTGCGCGAGTCCGGAAAGTGGATCTTGCGGTGGAACATGAGGGTGCTGTGGTTCTCGAACAACTTGCCGCACACCTCGCAGCTGTGCTCCTTCTTCAGCACCATGTGCGTCCGCTTGACGTGCAGGTTGAGGCGGTTCCTGGTCGCGTACGCCTTGTCGCACTGGCCGCACGCGAACGGTCGCTCGCCCGTGTGCAGCCGCATGTGGATCTTGACCTGGCCCTGGTGCTTGAACACTTTCTCGCACAGGCTGCACGGGAAGGGCCCGTTGCCGACGGGGTATTTGCGCGGCCGGCCGACCCGCGACCGCTCCCGCAGGTGCCGCCGCACGTGGCTCTCCAGCTGCTGCCTGGTCCACACCTCCTTCACCTGGCACAGGTCGCACGTCGTCGACGAGTCCTCCTCCTCCTTGCACAACTTCGGCCGCGCCCTGAAAAAACGCATTCCTCAGATCTGCCCACTTGGTATTTGTATACATTTTTAATTCTGCGTCAGGGTTAATTTCAAATGAGTTTGCAAATTTAAAAAGTTAGTTTTTGTTCCGGAGATATAGGGGGATAATTTTTACTCAAACTTGCCTGTTTTTATCATGAGAGTTTTCATCCTTTTATACTTTCTGTAATTTCCTGCGTCCTGTTAAGGCTAAGGAATTTTTTTAATTGATAATTTAAAAAATACTGAAAATATTTTTTTACAATTTGCTTTCATGTAAATTTTTATCCTGCTAACACTAATTTAATTTTTTTCTTATTGATCTATTTTTAACTAATATTTGAAATATGATTTTATTTTATGTATTAAATTAAATTCACATTTAATTTCATTTCATTTTTAAATTTTTGTTTTATAATTTTCTTTTCCCAGTTTAAAAGTAAAATATTTTTTGTAATTAAAATTAAATATTCAGTCTTTAATTTACTTTTAACTCATAATTATTTAATTAAATGATCAAGGCGTAATCTGCTATGCTCTTACATCAATTAGGGTCTGGATGAGTTGAGATTCAACTGATTAAAATAAAATTTTTCTTACCAAAACAAAATTTATTGCAAATTTGATGCACTTCTGATTAATTCATTTACATTTTGCAATTCATCTTAACCTAATTCAACCTTAATGAATATTTTGAATTTTCATGCGATTTAAAAAAAAAAACTTTCATATCAACTGCAATATGATAATCTTTATTACAATTTATCTGGGTCACGCAGCTTTTCGATGTTGCCGATTTTGTATCCGTGGCATTGCTTGACGTGACTGAGCATTTCTCATTTCGGCCAGATGAGTTTTTCGAAAATTTTGCACTCTCACACCTCGACGAGGTGAATTTTCAGGTGCCAACGAGTGAAGAAACGCTGCAGGCTGCCTATAGTGCAATTGAAGCTTGCTGGATTTCGGATGTGCTCCTTGAGCTGGTCGTAATTTGCAAATCGCTTCTGGCAAAAAATGCTTCTCATGTAGCTCGTCTTCTTACCCTGAGAAATCAATCGCTTGACGGCGCTGCTTTGCTCATGCAGCACCTTGAATTTCTAGCTCATGCAAAAAATTTAGCTTAGGAATATTTGTTCAATTTTAAATTAAAAAAGAATTTGATTCACTGATCATTGTTTGTGTAGCCTATTTACAGCATTTTCATTATCCTAAATTTAAATGACAGTAAAAATAATTATTAGTTTTCTCCATTTAAATTATTTCTGATTTTGTAACGATTGAGTTGCCACAGTTTATTTTGAAATTTTCCAGCCCAAAAGTTGATCGTTTTCGTTGTCTTCAAACTAAAAAATAAATTTTTTAACAAAAAAAAAATTATTTATTATGTTTTTGATTCCAAGGTGTGTTAAAAACAGTTAGGGCAGAATTTATTATGTGTGAAAAAAATGTGTTCTGCTTATCCCAAGATCAAATTGTAGAAATGTAAATTAATTTAAACGAGAATTTCCCCCACACAAATAAAAATAAATCACGGAAAAGAGATTTATATCTCCTCATTTTTATTTTACAATTGCTGTGAATCAAGATTTGTAGCACAAATAAAACAATTAATTTTGCATTTTAGTGTCTATAGCTAATTTTCAAGCTTCTCTGGGGTAAATTAAAGTGCACTTTCTCCTTGTGCTTTTTCAGGTTGAGGCCGTTTTGGAACGGCTTGTTGCAAATGTTGCATTCAAAGGCTTTGATGCCGTGTTTCTTCAGTTGGTGGTTTCGCATGTTGAATTGAACTGCGAATGACTTTCCACACTCTTCGCATTTGAAAGGTCGAAGTCCCAGGTGACTGTTCCTGTGCTTCATGATTGCTTTTGGGTTGCAGGAAATAGTTTTGTCACAAATACTGCATTGGAAAGTCTGTTTTGGGCCGTGGCTTTTCTTTAAGTGGTTCTTCAGATCCAAAACAGATGCGCTGCAAATGCTGCATTTGACCTTTTTGGTCATGTGGCGCTCAATGTGCTTTTCCAAGTAAAGTTTCCGATGAGATTTGTAGTCGCAGTGCCCACAATTGAACTCCATCTCAGAATGACGATACATGTGGGTTTTCAGAGAGTTTTCGCTGGTGAAGATTTGGCCGCAAATTTCGCAGACCAGCGAAATATTATTCTCATGGAGTAATTTTTTGTGGGTCGACAGAGAACATTTGAGTAGAATCTTTCCACAAATATCGCAGGTAACATGCTCTTTACTCGGCTCACAGCGAACATGATTCCTCAAGTGACTTTGCATATTTTCGTAGACTTTGAGCACTTTTCCGCATAAGTCACAATCAGTTTTGGGGACGATTTCCCTCTCAATGTTGTGCCACTCCTTCAAATGTCGGAGAAAAATTTCGTAAGATCCAGTTGTGAAGCCACACGGTTTGCAGCAGTGGGGCTTGCTCATCTCTCGGAGGCTCTCCAAATGCAGCAAAATATGCTTTTCTAAATTTTCCCTTGTCAGAAATCTCTCGGGGCAGAATTGGCAAAACATTTGACCTTCAGGGTCGCACAGAGTTTCAGGAGCGGCCAATTTACTTTTGTGGAAATCTTTCATGTGGATCATGAATTTAGATCTTTCGATCAGAATTTCGTCGCAGAACTCGCAAGGAAATGGTTTATTCTTGTGGATGTGAATAATGTGTGTCATGAGGTGGCTCTTGTCGGCAAATCGATGTCGGCAATTGCTACTGTTGCATTTGTACTTGAAAATTTGCTCGCCTGGTTTTCCTGTATGTTCGGGCATGTGCTTTCTAAACAAATCAAATCTTTCGAATTGTTTTGAGCACAAGCCGCACTTGACGTTAAATCTCATGGAGCCGTGAATCGTCAGGATATGCCCCGCCAGATTGACAACCGGGACTTGGCAAATGTGACAGGTCACCAGCTCAGTCGGCCTGCAAACAGTTATTAACACATTGGTCGTTTTCACATCATATGAAAGTTGGAGTTGAAGAAGTTGTTGATTTTATTTATATATATTGGCATTTTTTTTAATTAGCTGATTCATTAAAAAAATTAAGGAGCAATATTTCATAATAATGTATGTCTATCATATAGAAAATAAGCAGAGATATTATTTATCGATTTATCTTGATACATAACATTGAGTGAAAATTTTTTTATTTAAAAATTCTCAATGTAAAATTTAATAAAATTAACTTTAATTTGTGTGAAGGAATTGGCACTTGAGAAGACGATTGTGGAAATGAAGAAAACGTTCTTTGTTCTTGTTGAAAAATAGGGTCGCTGTCTGTGACCAAAACTGGTAGGGCCGTTGCTTTTTTGGAAAAAAAAACGCTTTTTCAACTGGAACAAAGCCCTTTCTTCACTTTCAATTTTCTTAATATGGAGCAATTTTAATAATTTTTAATATGAAAATCTCTATCTACCGCTTCCCAAAAAATAAGTGTATTTAAGGCATGAAGGGGGTGATCGCAGACGCAAAGTTTGCTTCCTTTAACCTTTGAAAACCATTTTTTTTTATTGTTTATTTATTACCCATATATATTTAGATGATTAAAACTATTTTGATTACAAAGTATTTAAAAAAGAAGAGCTTTTCCAATGTAGGCTGACTTATGTTTCTAAAAGTATTTTTAATTGACGTTTTACAACAACAAATTGTGTAAATGAAAAGTAATATTAATGAGATTATGTAATTCTCTCAAACAGAAACAGGTGTCAAAAAAAAAAAGGAAAAAGTACTAAATTTTTATTTTTTTTTACAACTACTGTGAATCAAGATTTGTAGCACAAATTTAATTTGTAGCACAAATTTAGTTTGAAACTTATTTTTCTAATAATTTTTATTCTAGTTTCTATAGCTAATTTTCAAGCTTCTTTTGGGTAGGTTGAAGGTTGAAGTGCACTTTCTCCTCGTGCATTTTCAAGTTGAAGCCGTTTTGGAACGATTTGCTGCAAATGTTGCATTCAAACCCTTTTAAATTAAAAGGCTTTGATGCCGTGTATCTTCAGTTTATGGTTTCGCATGTTGGCCAAAACTGCAAACAACTTTCCGCACTCTTCGCATTTGAAAGGTCAAAGTCCCAGGTGCCTATTTATGTGCGCCTCGGCCGATTGAGGGTCGCAGGAAATGTTTCTGTCGCAAATATAGCATTGGATCTTCTTTTTTGGGTCGTGGCATCTATTTAAGTGCGTCTTCAGATCCAAAACTGATGAGCTACAAACGCTGCATTTGACCTTTTTGGTCATGTGGCGCTCAATGTGTTTTTCCAAGAACTTTTTCCGATGAGATTTGTATTCGCAGTGCCCACAGTTGAACTCCATCTCAGAATGGCAATGCATGTGGGTTTTCAGAGAGTTTTCGCTGATGAAGATTTGGTCGCAAATTTCGCAGACCAGCGAAATATTCTCATGGAGATATTTTTTGTGACTCGAGAGTGAACATTTGAGTAGAATCTTTCCACAGATATCACAAGTAACTGGCGCCTTACTCGGTTCACAGCGAACATGATTCCTCAAGTGACTTTGCAAAGTTTCGCGGACTTTGAACACTTTTCCGCAAATGTCACAATCGGTTTTGGGAACAATTTTCCTCTCCATGTTGTGCCACTTTTTCAAATGGCGGAGAAAAACTTTGTAAGTTCCAGTTACGAAGTCGCATGGTTTGCAGCAGTGGGGCTTGCCCATCTCTCGGAGGCTCTCCAAATGCAGCAAAACATGCTTTTCTAAATTTTCTCTCGTCAGAAACCTCTCGGGGCAGAATTGGCAAAACATTTGACCCTCGGGGTCGCACAGAGTTTCAGGAGCGGCCAATTTATTTTTGTGGAAATCTTTCATGTGGACCAAGAGTTTAGATCTTCCGATCAAAATTTCGTTGCAGAACTCGCAAGGAAATGGTTTATTCTTGTGGATGTGAATGATGTGTTTAATGAGGTGGCTCTTGTTGGCAAATCGCTGTCGGCACCTGGCACTCTTGCATTTGTACTTGAAAATTTGCTCGCCTTGTTTTCCCGTGTGTTTGGGCATGTGCTTCTTAAACAATTCAATGCTCTCGAATTGTTCTGAACACACGCCGCACTTGACGTTAAATCTGTTGGCGCCGTGAATCGTCTGGATATGCTCCGCCAGATTGACGACCGGAATTTGGCAAAGGAGACAGGTTACCAGCCCAGGCAGTCTGCAAACAGTTATTAACAAATTGGTCGTTTTCGCATCACATTAAAGTTTGAGTTGAAGAAGTTGTTGCTTTATTTAACGGAATGTATTTTATTTAGCTGATTAACTAATAAATTTGAGGAAAAAAATTTTACATTATGTACATATATGATCAAAAAAATGACACAGAAATTAAGCAGAGAATTTATTAATCAATTTATCTTGATAAATAATTTTGATGAAATTTTTTAATTCTCTTTGTAAAATTTAATAATAATTAACTTTAATTTTTGAGAAGAAATTGGCACTTGAAAAGACGAACGTGGAAGTGAAGAAAACGTAATTTGTCCTTGTTGAAAAAAAGGGTCGTTGACTTTGAGCAAAACTTGTGAAGTAAACCGGATTTTTTTTTCTTTTTTGAAGAAAAAACAATTTTTTTAACTAGGACAAAGCCATCAATTTTCTTCAATTTTCGTTGACATCTGTCTTAATATAGAGTAAACTTTATCTTTTAATACGAAAATCTTCATCGACTTCTTCCAAAAAAAGTAAGCGTATTATAGGGGCAAAGTTTGTTTCCTCAAGTCTTTATAAGTAATTATTTACCCATACATTATTAGAATACACTTGAATTTTTTTAAATAATTTTTCAACGAAAAAAAAGCTTTTAATATTTTAAAATACTACAATCATTACTTTATAGAAAATGGTATAGCTAACTTAAAATAATAATTTATTATGATTCCAGAGTGTATTAAAAGAAGAAGAGCCTTTCCAGTAAAGGCTGACATGTGTTTCAAAAAGTATTTTTAATTGACGCTTTACAACAAATTGTGGAAATGTTAAATAATATTTATGAAATTATGGATGTATCTCTAACAGGCTTAAAAAAAAATCAAGGAAAATGATTTTAACCCATATTTTTTATTTCAAAATTACTATAAATCAAAATTTTTAGCACAAATTTAGTTCGTCACTTTTTCCTAATAATTTTCATTTTGCATTTTAGTGCCTAGCTAATTTTCAAGCTTCTCTTGGGTAAATTAAAGTGCACTTTCTCCTTGTGCTTTTTCAGGTTGAGGCCGTTTTGGAACGGTTTGTTGCAAATGTTGCATTCAAAGGCTTTGATGCCGTGTTTCTTCAGTTGGTGGTTTCGCATGTTGAATTGAACTGCGAACGACTTTCCGCACTCTTCGCATTTGAAAGGTCGAAGTCCCAGATGACTGTTCCTGTGCGTCATGATTGCTTTTGGGTTGCAGGAAATAGTTTTGTCACAAATACTGCATTGGAAAGTCTGTTTTGGGCCGTGGCTTTTCTTTAAGTGGTTCTTCAGATACAAAACGGATGCGCCGCAAATGCTGCATTTGACCTTTTTGGTCATGTGGCGCTCAATGTGCTTTTCCAAGTAAAGTTTCCGATGAGATTTGTAGTCGCAGTGCCCACAGTTGAACTCCATCTCAGAATGACGATACATGTGGATTTTCAGAGAGTTTTCGCTGGTGAAGATTTGGCCGCAAATTTCGCAGACCAGCGAAATATTATTCTCATGGAGTAATTTTTTGTGACCCAAGAGGGAATGTTTGAGTAGAATCTTTCCACAGATATCGCATGTAACAAGAACGGGCCTCTTGGGTTCGCGTTCGCGACGGCGAACAGAGTGATTCCTCATATGAGATTGCATACTATCGCGGTATTCGAACACTTTTCCGCAAATGTCGCAGTCGGTTTTGGGAACGATTTTCCTCTCAATGTTGTGCCAATCCTCCAAATGGCGAAGCAAAAAACGGTAACTTCCAGTTACGAAGTCGCATGGTTTGCAGCAGTGGGGCTGGCCCATCTCTCGGAGGCTCTCCAAATGCAGCAAAATATGCTTTTCCAAATTTTCTCTCGTCAGAAACCTCTCGGGGCAGAATTGGCAAAACATTTGACCTTCGGGGTCGCACAGAGTTTCAGGAGCAGGCAATTTATTTTTGTGGAAATTTTTCATGTGGTCTAGATATTGCGGTTTATCGATCAGAACTTCATCGCAGAACTCGCAAGGAAGAGGTTTTTTCTTGTGGATGAGGATGACGTGTGTAATGAAGAAGCTCTTGTCGGCAAACCGTTGTTTGCATCTGATATAGTTGCATTTGTACTTCCAAGTCTCCTCGCTTGGTTTTCCCATGTGCTCGGGCATGTGCCTCTTAAACAAATCGATGCTCTCGAATTGCTTCGAACACAACCCGCACTTGACGTTAAGTCTGGTAGCATTGTGAGTCATCAGGAAATGCTCCGCCAGATTGACCACTGGAATTTTGCAAAGATGACAGGAAATCTGCTCAGTCACCCTGAAAACAGTTATTAAAAAAATTGGTCGTTTTCACAGCAGATGAAAATATGAGTTGAATTGCATGGATTTTTTTCTATTTCCCCTGCTTATGTTTCAAGCTGTATGAAACAAATATGTCAAAATGAAGTACAGAAATGTTTTTAAAAAATTAAAAGAAAAATTACGCAAAACAACTAATGTTATTGATTCATCTTTATAATATGATATCAAATAAAAATATTTCTCGAAATTAAAAACCATTGCTGTAATTAGGCAAGGTGTAATCCAAGGTTGGCAAGCGGCGCTCATAAGCGCACTTCACCAACAACAGAAGTAAATATTTTTGCCTTCGTTTTCCAAACAGAAATGAACATTTTACACGTTTAATTTTTGATATTCTAAACTTTCATAACTTAAAAAACTCATTTCCAACAAACTTAAAATGATAATAATTTAAGATTTTGATTTCAAAGTGTATGGTAAAATGAAATGCTTCTTTTTTTAATTCAGTAGGAATTTTAATTATCAATTAACTTTTACAAATTAATTTAATTTGACGTGTCTTCAGATGAAATTAAACAAGTGTATGGATCGCTATGAACGTATAAATTTAAACCTAGGAAAAAAACAAAGAAAAATTTAAATTCATGACATTTTTATTCTAATTTTAGTTTATTTGAAATTTAATCTGAGGTTTTCGGTAAAAATTTCGTTTGATGTAATTTTAACCTGATTATAAGCATTTATTTTGTCACGAATAATAAATTTTCCATTTTGTTTTAAATTGCTTATTTTCAAGCTTAATTTGGGCTATTATTAATCAATTACAATTGTTTTATGTGGACTTCATTACTATTTTCAGCAAACAGATTTTTTTTTACATTATTTTCAGCACTTTCTGCAAAAGCAAAATTTTTTCTATTTTAAATGACTGTTTATGGACCGAATTAATAATAAATTAATCAATAGGCTCAAAATTACAGCATACGTTTGAAAAGACAAACTGCTATTTACATTATAATTAATTATTATAAAAAGGAGTGGGAGCGGAGCAATGATTTTGCTAACGAGCGCGAGCGGAGCGGGGAGCACAAAACGTAGGAGCGCGTCATTTTGAATTGAAGACGCATCACAATCAAAATTGAAATATTTTATTTTTTGTTAACGTGTCCAGCAAAAATTAAGTTTTCGTCGATGTGGAACCCGTTATAAACCTTTTCATTGTGACAGTAAACAAGGTGAGATTTACATTCCTTGAATGTCAAGAATTTCTCGTCGCACCTGTGACATGGGTAGGGGCTCAAACCGTGCACTTTGTATATGTGATCGCGGAAACTGCTCAACTTCACAGTGAACCAACCACACACCTTGCAAACGAAAGGCTTCTTGGTTTTCGAATGACTCAAGTCCATGTGTCTCTGCATATATGCAGCTCTGATTTTCAAATTACACATTTTGCACTGCATCTTTTCCTCGTGCGATTTCAAATGAATTTTTAAATAGCTGGGGACGCAACTGAATGCGCAAAAATTACACTGGACCTTTTCCGCTATGTGCATGTCTAAAACGTGACGCATTAGACCCAACTTTGTACGGGAAGCAAAGTCGCAGTGTGCGCAAAAGAAATCCGGCTTTGATTTGTGAGTTTGTAAGTGAAACCAAATATGACTCTTGTTATAAATTCGTTTGCATATTTTGCAGGAAATCTGGCGCATTTTTAAATGTACAGCTTCCATATGTTGGTTGAGACTTTTTTTCATTTTAAATTCTCTGAGGCATAGGTCGCAACGCGGTTTGAAGGTCGGTATCTTCATCGCGTGAGCGGATTCCATGTGAGTGCAGAAGTCCCAATAGTTTATGTACGAAAAATCGCAAGTGGAACACGCTAAAGGTTTTCCGCTTTTCATTAAAAATGTCAAATGCATCATCAGGTGCCTTTTTAAAATCTGCTTTGTCAAAAATCGTTGTGGGCATAATTCACACTGGAAATGACCTTTAAGGTCACAAAGTATCTCCGGCGGGGGACCAAATTGATTGACGGGTCGAATGTCATGTACTGCGGACAAATGCGAGCGGAATTTCCTGACGTCGACAAACGTGAGATTGCACTTTTTGCATTCATATTTTAAATTTTGATGTTCACGCTGAATGTGCTTCGTCCATAGAGATCGATTGGAAAATGAAGTGCCTCTCTTCGGGCAAGCGGCGCATTCGCAGAAGTACTCTTTAGCCTCCCTTTGATGGCTCGGCAGCGCCGGATTGCGGTCAAAAGCATCTTCACTGCAGATGCTGCGCCTTTCCTGGTTCCTGCAAAAATCGTTCAGCTTTTTGGTTTTCTATCATCTTTTATTCCAACTAGAGTGTTTGACGGGACCAATTCTCGCAAATTTTCTCGTTCCATACCCGATTTTTTTTTCAAAAATTTTCCCGAGTCTGGTCCCGTTCCCGGGAGTGCCTAAAACATAATTCCCGGACCCGTCCCGATTCCCGCAATCAGTTATAAAAATAATCCAGTTTTTGTGGTATGCAAATAGCACTACTCATATGCACTGCGGGTTGGCCAATTTATATTTATGACTCCAATTTCTAAATATATTATCTTGCAATTTTTTTGTTTGTTATAATTTCATTTTCAGAAAAAAAATATCTAATATAAACTCTTAAGAAATTTATATTTATAAATTTTGAAAAATTATATTAATTTGACAAAACAGGGAACCGAAAACTGGTTTATTTTTTAATTCCTCTTTGTTTGCCGATTTCCCAGTCCCGCGTCCCTTCCCGTTCCCGCTGCTCTAAAAGGAAACGGTGCCGGTCCCGCGGGGACCAGTCGGGACTGAGTCCCGTCGAACACTCTAATTCCAACTGTCACACGAAGAAAAAAAAGAAAACAAAAGGAGAAAAACTGAACAGGAATGGCACAACAAGCACTACTGCTATAAACATAATTAATACTACTAAAAAATGTAAAAAAATTTAAAGTTCAGTCGCAAAATTTATTTTGAATTACATTATTTTTCAATCTAAAGTTCATTTGACACTTTTAAAGTTTTATCTGTAATTTAAAAACATTTTCCCCCGTCAAGTTGTAATTACATAAGGAGAAATAAAAATGACAACTTGCAAACAGTGAATTTAAAACATGTTTAGGTTTTCATTTTTTTTATGATTTTTCTAGCACCCTGATAATTTCTCTCCTTTCCATATCAATGACTTGAAATTAATTTTTTTTGCAATATTTTATGTGGTGAAGAAATTAATTTCAGGCTTGTTATAAAAGAATCGTTTTATTTTCAAGTGTAATAATATATATAAATTTATATGAATGTTCAACTTATGCATACAATTTTTTTGTGAATGACGTTTTTTTCTCATGTTTCCCATTCTTGGTTATATGATCGATGATATAAGTACCATACAAAAACCGATTATCTATGTAGCTAATGGAGAATAAAATAAATAATGTAATTTTTAATAGATTCTTTTATTAATGAAAATATTCTTTGAACAAACATTACAATGTCCCCATTCTTACTTGATTTTCAAATACACATCTTGAATCTGATTGCTTTCCAACTAAAGTGATGGAGTTAGAATCAGAAAATTCATTTGTTTTTTAGCTTTTTATTATTATTGTTGTCTATTTTATATATTTTACTTGTTTATTCATGAATCATACATTTCTGTTTGTTTCAACACAAAATCATGTACATCGGATTCTTAACCTTGTGAAATGGAGCTTTTCTTTGGGTATGCAATTCAGATTGGTAAAACATAATTTTAATTTCACACATTTTGTGATATTTAGCACATATAGATAATCAATTAAGCATTTTTTTTTTATCCTTTCAAACGCATTTCCTGAACTAAGTTTTGCTTAACTATAGTTAAATTATTTTAATAACTGAATTTATTCTAAAAATCTACATTTCAGGTGATTCCGCTCATCACCAATCACTGCTTGGAGCTTGGCTGCGGCATTCCGGCAAAAATTAAGCTTTCAAAGTCTATGGTAACTTTATCAATCCTTTCATTATGAACATTCGTGCAATGCGACCGAAGCTGCTTGAACAAAACAAACTTTTCTTCGCACTTGTGGCACGGGTAGGGATTCAAGCCGTGTCGTAAAAATACGTGATTGCGAAAATTTGTCTTTCGTAAGAAAATCCTGCTGCAAATTCGGCAATGGAAAGGCTTCCTATCATGCCGAGATCGATTTCCACCCGTCTGCGATTTCTTTTTGCCATTTGAATTTGCCACGTTCTTGTTGTGAATGGTCAAAATATGTAAGTCAAGTCTTTTGTACCAGCCCTTGCAAACTGGACACCTGCGCTGCTGGCGGCGCTTCTTTTTCAGATGCATGCTCTCGATGTGTATTTTGATGCAAAGCTTTCTGTGCGTTCCGTAGTCACAGAGCTCGCAGAAAAACTGTGGCGTTGTGTTGTGCGATTCTAAGTGGTACTTCATCAATTTTTTGGGTACAACCTTACCGCAGCTTTGGCAACTTACACCAGTTTTCAAGTGCGCGTGCCGCATGTGATGTAGAAAGCCACCTTTTTGCTTAAACTCTTTGAGGCAAAGATCACATCGAATTTTGAAGATTGGTCTATTTATTCCATGAGCGGAACACAAGTGGTGCCAGAATTTACTATAAGACTCAACGGAAAAATAGCAACGGGCGCACCTGAAAAGTTTATGGCATTTTTCTAAATTGTCCAAGTGCTCAGAAATGTGCTTCTTCAGAATTTTCTTTGAGCGAAATCTCTCTGGGCAGAAACCGCACTGAAAACGACCGTTTATGTCACAAAGTGTTTCAGGCAGAGGACCAATTTCATCTAAATATTGAGCGCCGTGGATTCTTACCACATGCAGACCCAATAATTCTGTATTCACAAACTTAAAGTCGCATTTTAGGCATTTGTATTTTAAAAGAGTTTCGTGGTCATGTTTTTGGTGCTGCGCTAAATACTGTGGCTGGGAGTAAGAAATGTTGCAATCGATGGATTGAACATTTTCGTGGAAATTTTTTCGGTGCATCTTTAAATGCTCCTCGCAGGAAAAAGAAATTCTGTTTGTCAGGCAGGAACCAATTTCGCAGGAGTATTTTTGGCGAACCTGGACCGGCTTGTTGTGCTCCATAAAGTGGGCTTTGAACTTATCGAAGCCAATGAAAACCCTTGAGCAGATGCCGCATTTGAGATTCATTTGGTCGAAATGGTGCGTCATCATGTGATTGCGGTCAATACCCTCTTCATTGCAGATTCTGCACCTTGCCAGGGTTTGGTTCCTGCAAAAATTCGTTCAGATTTTGGTTTGTTGTTGTTGTGAAATTAAAAAAAAAAAAATAAAAGCTATGGTAAATTTTATTCAAATAATTATAATCAATTTTATTATTGTTTTTCTTGGACATATGTTCAATTAAAAAACACAGCTGGAATTTCATTTTCATTTTTAGAGCCTAAACCAACTAATCGCAAATTATTTCTATGATACTTGCGGATTCATGTATATATATAATGTTTCTATTTTAAATAATTACATTCACTCTGCAGCCCAGACGTGGACTTTGAAGAGGCAGAAGTTTTGGATTAAACAAATATCTCTCAAAATTTTTTTTTTTTAATTTTAATATTGTCAATAATTATTATTTCCAATTAATAAATATGTCACTAATTTTTAAAATCCGACTATAAGAATTGAATGCGCTCTTAATAATACCCCGCTCGTATATTTTGCAAACAAGCATTATTTTTTCAAGTGCGCGACCTCAATATGGTGGTTGAGGTACGGCTGATTTGAGAAATCTCGTTGGCAAAAGCCACACCGAAGTTTGAATTTTGGCCTTTTTACTCCGTGAAAGGAGAGCAAATGATTATAAAATCTTCCGTAATTCTTAACCGAAAAATCACAACTGCCACACCTGAAAAGTAAGCCAAAAATTTTCAAATTTTCCAAATGCTCCTTAATGTGCTTTTTCAGATTTTTTCTACAGGAAAATCTTTCGGGACAGAAACCGCATAGCAAATGACCATTTATGTTGCATAGTGTCTCTGGCGGGGGACCGAGTTGCTCCATTTGGCTAAGACCATGGGCTTTAAGGATATGATTTCTGAGCTGTGAAATTGTGCGGAAGTGAATGTTGCATTTTTTTGCACATGTTTTTGTCATCTTTGTGAACACTTCGAATGTGCAACTTCAACTGTTCCGCGTCACAAAAAGTAAAACCTTTGCACTCGTTGCACGAATATGAAACAATTTTGTGATATTTTCGTCTGTGCTCCATCAAATCTACTTGGTTGACAAAATTAATATCGCATTTGTTGCATTCATTGAAAACTTTGTGATGTTGCTTTCTGTGCGCCATCAATGGCGCTGCGTAGGGAAAATACTTATTGCAGCTTTTGCATTTGAATTTATCATTTTCGTGGTAGGTTTTTGTGTGAAGATTAAAATGCTCCAGGTTTGCAAAAGAAATGCGATTTTTGAGGCAGGAACCGACTTTGCAGGAGTACTTTAGGATTATCTTGGACGCCTTCTTGACCTTCTTGTGCTCCGGGATGTGCGCTTTGAAATTCTCAATGCCCAAGAAAGCCTTTTTGCACCAGCCGCATTTGAGTGGCCATTGCTTCCTGTGCTTGCAGTCAATCGAACCTTCTTTGCACATTCTGCACCCTGCCTGGGTTTGGTTCCTGCAAAAATCGTTCACTTTTTGGTTCTTTTGTACTTGGCGACAATAACATTAAAAACTGCGATTAATTCACACTGTTTTAATTATCATCAAAAATATATTCGAATATTCAATTAAATTCATTTAAATTTTTTGAGCCTAAAAATCACCTAAATTGATTTTCAAGAGAAATTAAGTTCCCAATGCTAACATTTTAGTCCATACTTTAAATTCTGAACATTATAATAAAGACAGGGTGGCCTTTCTTTTAATTTTTATATGTAATCCCTTTTTCGTGCGTATTATTTTCTTGGGATTATATATTTTTTACAGCCGGTTTTTTTATGAATAAACTTGACAAATATAGTGCGTTTCTACCATAGATTTATTATTCAGAGAAATTTTGGTTTGAAACATGTAACGATCATTGGCCTCTAATCAATTGTTTAAATTACTGGTTTTCAATTTTGTTTTTCAAGCGCATTTAGAATAAAACTTAACCTTCTAACTTAATGTAGCCACTCTATCTAATTTTTCAACAAATTAAATTTCAATTTTCCAAGTCCAGAGTTTTTCTTGGGCTTTGGCTGTCTTGTGGGACCAGATTTCGTCCGGGCCTTTTCTAATTTTGGCCCACCAGCTTTTAATTTTGGCTGCTTCTTGTTTACTTGATTTACGGAACTTTCAGATTGTTTGAGTAGCTCATTAAAATTTATTCTTGAGATAATTACAGGTGACAGCCCTGACAGGTGTATGTGAGAACTGAAGGTCGGCCTTTTTACTCCATGAGAGGAGAGCAAATGTTTGCAGAAATTTTTGTAATTCACGTGTGACGAATCGCAACTGTTGCATCTGAAAGGAACCCGGTATTTTGCCAAATTTTCCAAATGTTCCGCAATGTGCCTCTCAATTTTTTTCCAGGTCAAAAACTTTCAGGACAGAAATTGCATTGCAAACGACCGTTGATGTCTGGCTGGGGACCCAATCCATCCAAAATACAAATACGATGGACTTTATGCAAATGACGGGCGAGCAGTTCAGCTGTCCAGAAATTAGTGTTGCATTCTTTGCATTTGTATTTATCATTGTCGTGCCCATTTTTTATATGCATCATCAACAGATTTTGACTGGGAAAAGAAACACCTTCGCACTCATTGCACTCAAATTGAGTAGGAACAGTTTCAGAAAATATTTTGATTTTGTGATTCTCTATGTGCTGCAGCAAATCGTTTTCATGGGAATAGCTAATATTGCATTGGTTGCATAGAAAGTTGTGATAACGTTCTCTGTGCGCCACCAACTGCGCTGGATCGGAAAAAGAATGGTAGCAGTCTCTGCATTTGTACTTTGCACTTCCGTGGTAAATTTGCATGTGCAGCTTCAAATGATCCAGGTCTATGAAAGAAAGGCTGTTTTTCACGCAAACGGCGTTCTCGCAGAAAAGTCTATCGGAATCCTTTTTGTGCTCCTGCAAGTGGGCTTTGCGCTTATTGACGTCGATGAAAGTCTTCGAACAGATTCTGCATTTCAGATTCATTTGAGCAAGATGACGTTTCATCCTAAGATTGCTGTCAATGCCCTCTTCTTGGCAGATTCTTGCCCGAGTTTGGTTCCTGGAAAAATCGTTCAACTTTTTGGTTCTCATTGTAGTAAAAAAATTTAAAATATCAAAAAAAGAAATTTTAATTATGATCCCCAGACAAAAGTACATATATAAGAATATTTTATATCTTAGATCCGAATTTGTTCTATTTTCAAACAAAGGTTTGTAAATTATTAACTGTAAAATATGTATTCAGCTCTCTGCTATATAATTCGCTTACGATAATTAAGCCGTTTAACTTTTCTCATTTTTCATTTTATATGTACTCATTTATATTATGCATTTCAATTCCATTTCCCTCAGGACTCATTGTCAGCAATATTCTCCGTATCAAAATTGTTTCTTTTTTGACCTCTAAAGACAACAAATAAAAGTGAAAAAATTTCCATAGTTGTTGTTTATTTGTCATACAAATGAGTCACAGAAATTTTAGCTATGTAAATTGGTTCTGGCAAACAAAGCCAAAGCTCAACACCACCAACACCACAAGAAAAAGAATTTTTTATTTTATTTTTTTATACAATTAATTTCCTTAAAATTTTTATTTTTATGTTTGTGTCAATAGTTATATTCAAAGCAAGCCACTACATCGCATTTTCCTACAAGAAAATATTTTTCCAGAAATTGTTGTTTTTTTCAGCAACTTATTTGAAATCCGAAATCAGGGCAAATGGACATTCATGTGTGAAGCAAGTTGTTTTTTCCACTGATTATAATAATCGCAATGCAAACAGAAGAGAAAGGGCAGCGAAGTCGTGTGCCGCATTCTGTGGGTATAAATCGCGCTCTTTCTGAAATACCGCTTGCAAATGTCGCAAAAGACGCCCTCCTCGTTTTGATGGAAAGTCAATGTGTGGGTTTCCAGCGAGGCCTTGTTGGCGTTGCATTTGCCGCAAATCTTGCACTTGAACTGGTACGATTTGAAATGGCGCATCATGTGTTCTTTGTCAGCTGCAGTATCGTGAGCACGTCTGAATTCATCGAGGCAAAAGTCGCACCGCCGTTGAATGGGCCTGTCCTGCTGGTGGACGACGCGATAGTGCTTGAGTAAAATCGCGTACGTTTGCGCAGAGAAATCGCAACTGTCGCAGCCGAAAAGTGTCCCCGACTTGAGCTCCGTGTCCAAGTGCTTTGAAATGTGAATTTCCAAATTTTGCTTTGAAGAAAATCTCTCGGGACAAAGGAAGCATTGCAAGGGACCTTTGAGGTCAAAAAGTACCACTGGCGGCGGCAGCGGAGGCGCAGTGAAGTCAGGTTCGTCAACTCCGTGCATCTCCATTAGGTGCTTTCTCAACACGTAATGAGTGGAAACACTCGTCGGACACAAGTAGCAGCGGATCAAGCTGGGGCCGTTGGCGTGCTGCAGTTTCTTGTGCGCATCCAGAAGCTCCTGTGTTAAAAAGACGCGCCTTTTCATGGGGCAGCGGTTGACGTTGCATTTGAACGCCTTTTTCGCCACAACCGCATTCGCGTGCTCCGGCATGTGGGCCTTGAAGGCGTCCATGCTGGTGAACAGCACAGAACAAATGCTGCATTTCAGGTTCACCAAGTGCGGGTGGTGCGCCATCATGTGACTGATGCTGCTGATGCCCCTTTTGCAGATGGTGCACCTCTTTCTGGCGGCAGTCCTGCAAAAATTATTTAGCCCATTGGTACTCTTGTTTTAGCAGGTTTAATTGGCTTTAGAAAAATCTTTTAAGCCAACATAATGATTTAGTTTTATCCTCATTTTGAATCATTGGTGAATGATTTGGAAATATTTTCTGATTTTATAAACAATTTCAAATTGATTATGAAATTATTGGGTGTATAGAAATTTAATTTAATTTTAGTAGTCATAAATCATAAGTTATTTTCTATTGATTTTGTCCTAAAATTTATGAATTACAATAATTCAACTTTGCATTACATAACTTTAATCTGGGTCTTTGATCCTTAAAACATAATTTGAAAAAGCTGGCTGTGCTCTTATAAACCGCTGTATTATTATTTTGTTTGTAATAAAAATTTTTGAGAAACAGGACAGTAATTCATAACTCTCCATCAATTTTTATACAAATCTTTCATTTATATATTTTTTTTTACCAATTTTATTTCATGGAGATAAACAATTAAAAAAATTAGCCTAGAGTTTTTTTTATATGATTTTTATTTTTTTAATTGATTCATTATTTTAATGCTTTAAATACCTAAAAACTTTCAACACAAAATCTACAAAAGTTTCATTATCCGTTTTCTACAAAAGAACAAATTGGCCGCAGATGGCCTCCTGCTCATGCTTCTTTGCATCCTTTGAGGTGCCAAAAGCCATCTGGCATTTTTGGCATTTGTAACTGGCCATGCTGTGACGCACCCATATGTGCCTCTTCAAGTCAGAGCTCCTTGTAAATGAGAGGTAGCAAATTTCACAAGTGTACTGCACCTCTGGACCAGCGTCTGAATTGTCCGAAGTTTCACCTTCGACGGCTTCGACCTCATCTCTGTACTTCAAAGGCGGCTGAGTCGCCGTTTTTCGTTTTTCCCTAACCACCGGCTTAGACTTTTTCTTTATTTCCTCATCTTTCTCTTTCTTCTTCATTTGCGGTTGCTGTTCCTGTGTGACGGATTTCACCGTCACAGTTTTGGTTGGCGGTAATTTTGGAAGCAACTTTCTTAATTTTGGCCTTTCATTCTTGATTTTTTCGTTTTTATTTTTTACCTTTTCCACTTCAATGCAAATAGGTATCATGGGAATTTCAATTGACTTTTCCTGCACTTTTTCTGTTTCTGGGTCTGCGAGACTCATCGTCTCACTGATGACCGCAATCGCCTGCGACCCCTCCAAAGTTTGCTTGAACGTCAAGTTCTTTCTGCACTCCTCGATTTTCAGTTTCCTCTTCTGGCAAACTTTCAAGTGCTCCCTCAGAATGCCGGTTTTCATCGTTTCGTAATCGCAGTACGGACACTGGTGTTTCCGCTCGACTTGCCGCGGATTTCCGTGCGCTTCGAACTGGAAGTGCTTCATAAAGTCGGGCGCGTTTTTGAACACCTTGGTGCACAAATTGCAGAAGGGCAGGCAGTTGTCGTCGTACAACAAGTGGTTCTCCAAGTTGTGCTCGCTGAACTCGGCCGGCGAGTGGAAGTTTTGGTTGCACTGGACGCACTTCATGAAGTGCGCCTCCAGCTCGTGCTTGTGCAGCCGCGACTCGGACTGGAAACGCTCGTTGCACAGTTTGCAGAAGAAAAAGTCAACGGCGTGCGCGGACATGAGGTGCGAACACAACGACTCGATCTTGTTGAAGGTGGTGGCGCAGCCCTGCGTGGCGCAAATGTAGGCGGGCGGCGGAAAAGTGGACTTGCGATTGTGGCCCTTGACGTGGCTTTCGAAGCCTTCGATCTGGCTAAACGTTTTGAGGCAAGTGCCGCATTGGACGAGCATGAGGGAGATCAATGTAGCGTCGCCCTCAAAGATCAGCTCCAGTCTGAAAATAAATATTTGTTCCGGTCAAACAGGGCTCGCCATTTTTGCGCCACTATGATTTTTTTTGCATTTTATGTTCAGCCAAATTATTGGGGATTTATAAATCTATAAGTTTAATGTTTCAATTTTGAGCTGCATCTTTTACTTTTACTTAACATGATTTGAAACTAAATTTTTTCCCACTTATATAACGATTTTTATCATTTAATTATCTGCAAATTGAAGTTAATTTATTAGGCCCATTTTTATATCAAAATACCTCTTCATTTTTAATCTCATTAGTTATTCTAATAAAATCATTCATCGCTCTTCTTTCTCTTCAATTTTAGAATGTTTTGGAGCAAAAAAATTGATCAGACATTGCTGGGATAACCTTTATTTATTTTTATTCTTGACATTGAACAAAGTTATACTAAAATAATGATACGTTCAATGGTGAGTCCTAAAACTTCAATACCAAAATGAATATTCATATTCATCTTTAAAAGTTAATAACCTAAAATTAAATGATAAACAAATTCAAGCATTGAAATCTCTATTAAAAATTATCCTCTTTGAATGATTTCCATCATTAAACCAAATTATACACAAGAGTCATTTATTTACTTCTATAGAAGAGCTAGTTTTGAGTGAGAATATTTTCTAAATATTTTATGGATCATTGAAATTTTTCACTAAACTCATCAAAATTGAATTTTTTATTTTTAATGAACCCAAAATTAGAATTATAAAAAAATAAGCAAAAGGCCTGGGCGGACAAGGTTTTCTTGGCCTAAACTAACCTTTCACATTTGCCATCATTTTTCTTTGGGGTGTTTTTATCATTTTTGTTTGGTTTTTTCACATTTCCTTTTTGTTTCCCATCAGTGCCTTTAGGTTTTTCTTTAGGTTTTCCAACACCTTCTTTAGGCTTTGCAATTCTCTTTTTAGGTTTTCCATCATCTTTGGGTTTTGCAACATCATCTTTGTTCTGCTTTCCATCACTTTCATTTGGTTTTCCATCATTTGCATCTGATTCGGCGTGCGTCAACACGTGGATGTGCAGATCTCTGAGCATGCGGAACTTTTGGTCGCAGATCTCGCAGTCGTAAGGCAAAATGTCGTGCTTGAGGATTCTGTGGCGGACCAGGGTGGGCACGGTGGAGAACTTCATGACGCACTGGTCGCACTCCAGGGGCTTCAGTTTGGGTTTGTGAGAGCGCACGTGCTTTTCGTAGAGGCTCGGCTGGTGGAACTTTTTATCGCAAAACTCGCACTGGATCTCAAAGAAGATGTTGTGCTGCTTTCGCATGTGCGTGGTGTAGAGGCCAAGCGTGTAGTACGAGCCGCTGCAAATCTCGCACTTGTACTTGTAGCCCTCCCAGTCAACCGTGGCCAGGTGCCGCTGGATGTGCGCCTCGAGCACCTCCTTGAAGAAGAAGAACCGCAGACACCAACTGCACTGGAGCCTCTGCTGTTGCGGGTGCCGCGACTTCATATGGCGCATGAACCGGTGGCCGTAATCATGGTTGCATAAGAGGCACCGCCACTGGTCCTGGTCGCTGTCGCTCCATTTTCTGCAAAATAGTTTGGCATCCTTCAGGATTCATTCAAAATTAAGCAAAAGCACTTTTGCTTTTAAAAATAATTTCGATTTTTTAATGTATTAGGTTTGGTAATTTTAAAAACAAATTATTATTGAAGATTGCAAAAGGAAACTTAGCCATGGTAGTTTAAAATAAGTGTTTCTTAATCTTTCTTCACTTGTAAAGGCTATTTCCCATGGGTATCGAAATATAAAAGCTCAAATCGTGATATGATAATTAAAAAATGATTTTTTTTTCAAATTCATAATTATAATATATAAAATGATTTACTATATTTATTCTTTGTGAAAACGTTTAAAATTTAATATAAACTTACTTGTATATATATGATAATTTTTTTGGATTTTTTTTTTATTTGCTACCTTCACATTTAAAAAAATCAACGGATTGTAAAAAAAGAAAATAGCTCCATATTAATATCCAAACTTTTTTTTTAAATTTTAAGGAGTATTAAAGAAATACAATGCAAAGTTTTCTAATTAAATTCGTCAAATTTAGAGTTTCCTTTTGGTTTAAGGATATTTCTTTTCTGTCATTTCCCTTCTCTCAATTAGTATGTATTTGATGCGTTTTAGTTTTAAGATAATTTATTCTTGTATTTTTTTGTTAATATCGAGAGAAAAATAATTTTAGTGTTTCCTTCGTAATTATAACAGGATATCTTCCAAGTTTCTTATTCAATTTTTTAATATTTATCATTGATTTTCATACAACACATTTTTATTTAAAAATTTTCAGCACCCATAAATTTTTCTGTTTTAATTTCTCTGACTTAATTGTGTGCAAGTTTTCTTATTGAAATAATAATTTTCATTTTTATAAAAAAAAATCGGAGAGTTTATTTCCGCCAAAAATAAACAAAATGCAATATATGTACATAAAATTGTCTCTCTCTAAAGCACTTTCGGGTTTTCTCATCTTTCAATCAGTCGGAAATGGCCTCCTGGTTTTGGCGGAAGTGCACCTCGACCCTGTGTCTTTTGAGTTCGTTCATGAGCATGAAGGTCTGCTCGCACTCGTCGCACTTGTACGGCATGACCTTGTGTTTGACCCACTGGTGCTTGCGCAGGCACTCGCGCTGCGTGAAGGCCGCGTTGCACACGTCGCATTCGAAGGGTCGCAGGCCCTGGTGCAGTTTGATGTGCCGGCGCAGGATGAAGCCGGACGTGTACGCCTTGCCGCAGTAGTCGCACTTGTGCGGCCGCTTGTCCGCGCTGTGCTTGACGCGGTGGCTGCGGAGGCCGGAGCCGTGGGCGAAGGTCTTGCCGCACAGCTCGCAGGTCAAGGGTCGCTCGCCGGTGTGCGTGACCATGTGGTTCTTGAGGTGCGACTTGCTGTAGGTGACCCAGCCGCAGACGCCGCACCGCACCTTGCGCGCCTCGGCGAAGTGCGTCTTGCGGTGCTGGGCCAGGTAGTGGCCGAAGGCGAAGCTCTTGCCGCACACCTCGCACGTGAACACGTCCTCCTGCGGCTCGTGCGTCTTCAGGTGGTACCTGAGGGTGGCGCTCGAGATGAACTGGCCGCCGCACTGCGCGCACACGTACGGCCGCTCGCCGGTGTGGCGGCGCTCGTGGATTTTGAGCATCTCGGCGCGCTTGAAGGTTTGCGCGCAGAACGAGCACTTGAACTTTTGCGGCTCGTGGGCCACGCTCTGGTGCCAGCGCATGCTGCTGTAGGTCGCGAACGTCTCGCCGCACACCCTGCACGCCTTGGCCGCGTGCTGCCGCCGCCAGTGCAGCCGCATCCCCTTTTTCGAGCAGCACCGCTCGCCGCACGCGTCGCACTGCAGCGCCAAAGCGCAGGGGCAGCGCTCGCCGCACAGGTCGCACCGCTCGGTGCGCCGCAGTGCCGGACGCCCACGCTTCCTCCTGAAATAAGGCACCATCTCTACTCAATTTTCAATCATTTTTTACAATTACATTTTCTTCTAAATTTTTGTTGGTTTGCCACTCTATCAAAATTTTGAGGCTTATTTTGTGACTGTTCTAATTCATCTGACTAAATTCATCGAAATTTCTTAAAATGATTTTGATGTTTTTTTTTAATGTCATTTTTATTTTGCCATAGAAATTTGTTTCTAAATATTTTTTACAAAATACATAAAAAATACCAATCGTTGATAAATCATTATGTGTTATTTATTTTTGAACTAAAATACCTTCAAATAGCTAAGATTTCAATATGTTTTTTATTTTTTTTATTCCTCAAGGTAAAAAACCTAAAATGAATGAAATAGCCGACTTTTTGTATTATTAAGTCCGAGAGCAACGAACACATTTGCTCATAAATATTGATAACTAAATTTGGCATTTTCAAACTTATTTTGCTAAAAAAAGTTAATACTTTTAAAAACGTTAATGATTTTTTGTTTTGTCTCAGTATAACTAGATAGATCATAAATAAGGGAAGCAGACAGTGACCTAATATTTATCAGATTTATCATATCACAAATTTTCAAACGTTTCCTTTCATTAATATCTCATTAAAAAAAAAATAAAATAAAAAAACGTAAATGACTGCAGTTTTTCATTTGAAACATTTTCTTTCAATTTTACTCAAAGGGCTGTTATGAGAGAATGTATTTTTTCATTAAAATTATACATCAACATATTTTGTATTTTAGTAATTCCAAAAATAAAAACTTCCTAATTTTTGTATATTTTTTTCTTATTTATTTTCACTTAAGCTTTCAACTTTCACAAACCAAAGCATTTTTATAATATGTTTAGTATAATTACATTTATACAAATTTTCCAACAATTCTTGTAAATTCCCTAGTGCAGAATTTAACAATATTTCAATTACTGCATATTAGTTAGAAAAACAAAATGAATCATAGCCCCATCGCAGCTACCCAAGATTTTATTTTTTTCTTTAAATTAATGTGCACGCAATGCAATTTACTAGGTATTTGAAAAACCAAAAAAATTAACTTTCTCAACTATATTCAATTTTTTATACTACTCGGCGTTTTTCACATGAATCACCACGCCGTGCACCTTCTTCTGGTGCTTTCGCATGTAGAAGCCGGACATGAAGCGTTTTCCGCACACTTTGCACTCGAACTTCTTATCCTGGGTGTGCGTGCGGATGTGGCCTTCGAGGTTGCTCTTGGCCACGAACGCCTTATCGCACATGGGGCACTGCCACTTGCGGTCGTCCACGTGGTACATGATGTGCGCCGCCAGGGTCGACTTGGTGTTGAACCTTTTCCAGCAAAAGTCGCACTTGAAGCGCAGCGCGTTCTCGTGGTCCGCCATGTGCATTTGGAGGCTGCGCTTCGACGCGTACACCTTGTTGCAGAGTTGGCAGGGCACCTTCGGCGGGCCCTCCGCCTCCTTCTGGCCTCCCCCGGCCTTCCTGACCGTCTGGTGCGAGCGCACGTGCTGATTAATGATGTGCGCCTTGAAATTTTTACCGCAAATATCGCACTCGACCATTTTGAAGGTGTGCTGGCGCCGCCGGTGCGACTTCATGGTGATGGTGTTGACGAACTTCTCGTCGCACAAGTCGCACTCGACCGTTTTCTGGCCGTGCAGCTGCTCGTGCAGGTTGCGCTTGTAGTTGGTTTTGAAGCCCTTGCCGCACACCGAGCACTCGTACGGCGAGTCTTCGCTGTGACTCGACTTGACGTGGTTGAACAGGGTGGAGCCGTTCAGGTACGTCTTGCCGCAGTGCTTGCACCTGTGCAGCTTTTTCTGGTCCACGTAGTGCACGGCGGCCATGTGCTCGCGCAGACTCGTCTTCCACAGGAAGATTTGGTCGCACAGGTCGCAGCCGTACAGCACCGAGCGCGTGTTGCCCGGGTGCTGCTGCGACACGTGCTCCTCCAGCTCGGCCTTGGTGCGGAACTTCACCTTGCACGTCAGACACTTGATCTGCCGGGGGTGCTTCTGGTCAATGTGCGCGTGCACCGCTTGCACCGTTTCGAAAGTCGCCTTGCAAAATATGCATCGGAAAAGGCGCTGCTGTTTCAGGTAGGCCGCCGCCGTGAGCCTGCAATTTATAAAAATCAAACTCACTTCTCGGTATTTGGCATTTTCAGGTTATTTTTTCTGCTCTTGGTTATTAATATTTTATCTTAGTTAGGGGTTTTAATCGCAACTATAAATTAACCGTAAAATGCGCATTCCTATTTCTTATCACTCTGAACTACTTATTTTAAATTTATATATTTCTTGTACACTACCGTTCTTTATTTTTGATCGCATATTATTGTCTTTAATTTTTTTCCTGCCTTTTCAATAGTTAATTTTAATCCTGATATATTCTAACTTTAAGCTCAATTAAGAGTTGTGCATTTGGCAATTAAAATCGTTTGCACTAATTTCAACTTTTTTCAAGTTCATAAGCAAAATATGAATTTTTTTAATCAGAATTTGTTTTTATCGCCTTTTTGAATTTTCAGAAATAATAGCACCTTCTCTGATAATTGCAAAATTCCGATATTATAACATTTTTCACTTCAACCTGTCAAAAATGCATCTTGTGTCAACTTTTTTGTCGACAAATAGATTTTTGTTGTAAGAAATTTCAATCCACTTTTGATGTTTACTTTTGAAACGCCATTTTATTTTATTGATTGTGAAACTTTTTACTGTATGATTTTTTTATAATACTTGTTCCAATCCAATAATTTCTAGCACTTAATCCTGATAATTTTTTATTTTGAAAGTTCTTTCAAAAAATTAGCGGCAATTTGATATATTTTTACTATCTTCATTTTATTGAATATAAAACTTCACAATTTGAAACAAGAGAGAATTTTACTGATCAACTTTGTCCGTCCTCGACTTGTCAAACATTCTGATGGAAAGTTTTCATGTGTCTGACTCTGGAGTGGTCGGTCGTGTACCACCTTTCGCACACCTCGCACTGAAACTGCTTTTTCTCAAAATGCGTGAACTTGTGCTTATTCAATGAGCCGCCGGTCACGAATTTCTTGCCACACGTTTCGCACTTAAAGCGCC